TCACCAGTACTAAACAAAAATTCGACACTTTGGTGAGAGCATGCAGTATTGTGGCATATCATGTCACATAAGGTCAAGCTTGACCGCAGAAGCATCAAGAAGCGGATACTCCAGCTCGACTGTGCCGGCAACGCTGCCTCCTCACGCCGGCCGGCTGCCAGCAGCCGTCGCGGCCCGTGGCGTGCACCAGAGAGGGAGAGAGAGTCCGCGTGGCTCAGGCCGGCCAGAAGGTGTGTGGCGACGGCACCGTGGCAGGAGTGCGGAGAAGAGCTTGCCGAACGCGAGCAGCGGAAGGCCGAAGTGTGCCAGCGCAAGAGCCTCGCGAACGGGTGCAGAAGGAGCTCGCCGTGACACGATGCCGGGCGGTGGTGGTGCTCTGGCGGCTGTGCACAGTGGGAAACGTCAGGCTGCAACAGGGCAGCACGATGGTCGTGCCCCGCTGCAGCCTGGCCTGACATGCACAGGGCGAACAGAGACGGGACTATCGCCTGGCGCTCGTCTGGGCAAATTTTGACCGCCGCCCGGCTCGCAACGAGCACGCAGCGACAAAATGATGACCGTGTCGAAGTTGAGGCTGGTCGAGAGGAAGAGGCTGCCGTGCGAGCCGGCAACTGGCTGGCTCGGCGTGGACAGCCGGCGGCGACTTTTTGCCGAAGAGCGTGCCTGCCGAAGAGCGAGTCTGACTCAAAGTGCACGGAGTGGGCGCCGCCGACCGTCGGGAGGAGTCCGATGGGTGCCAGGACGATCCAGAGAGCGATGAAGGCGCAAATTGCGCCGCCGAAACCGGCGGTAGAGGCCAGGCAGTGCGCGTGGGCCGGTCGGGCCACGTCCCGGGGCGAGCGATCGAGGGCCGCGGGGCTCGCCCCGTCGGCCGAGCGGTGCGAACGGCCGGTCGCCCGCTTCGGGTTGGACCCGCCGGGCGGTCCGGCGGCGGATTGCATGGCCGGGCGGGCCTCCGGGAGGCAGGCGGGGCCGTGACAGGGGCAGGGCAGAAATTCCATTCGGAGAGCGTGTAGCGCGACCCCTCTGCTACTTTCAATGATAGGGACGCCTTGACTTCGCCTGGGGTCCATGCCCGAAGCCCACCCTGTGAATGTAGAAGGTAGCCATCCATGGTTGCATAGTCGGCTCAATTATAGTCGGGATTTAAAGCTCAATTGCACGCGCGCACAAACACCCACTCATCCCGGGAGGGCAGGGAGGGACACACAAAATTCACTCACACGTTGGCGAGGGACCGCTCAGCACGATGGTAGAAGGGGCACAACGAGTCGGTCCACCAACGTTTGTGGCGGTCGGTAGAGCGGACCACAAACAAGTAACGCTCATTAGTAGAAACTTACGGGAGTTTACTTGGAGACCCCGCCCGGCGGCAATCGCAAGATCCCCTCGTGCTCGTTGAGGATAGCCGCCGTAGGCCCAGCCCGTTGATCGCCGTGGACCACCTCCGGCGGTCAAGGCAACTTTATCTAGAGCCTGCTCTAGAAACCATCGCCTTGACTTCGCCTGGGGTCCATGCCCGAAGCCCACCCTGTGAATGTAGAAGGTAGCCATCCATGGTTGCATAGTCGGCTCAATTATAGTCGGGATTTAAAGCTCAATTGCACGCGCGCACAAACACCCACTCATCCCGCTCGCGCGTGACGGCGAGCTAGAAAGAAAGGGGGACGAGTATGGTGAAGAATAGATGGCGTCTTCGTGGACTCCAGAAGGTAGTAGAAACTTACGGGAGTTTACTTGGAGACCCCGCCCGGCGGCAATCGCAAGATCCCCTCGTGCTCGTTGAGGATAGCCGCCGTAGGCCCAGCCCGTTGATCGCCGTGGACCACCTCCGGCGGTCAAGGCAACTTTATCTAGAGCCTGCTCTAGAAACCATCAAACAAACGCAAGGCGGACAACCCGCACATCGCTCTCGGGCCCACAGACATCCCGCACACCCGCCGCCCCCGCGCGCGCCCGCCCCGGCCGCCGGGAAAAAGGCAAAGGGGAGTGACAGTTTGTTTGGGAAGGAAAAGTCGAGAACCTCGCACTCCACATGTGCGAGAACGCAGGGTAAATGTAGAATGTAAGCCGGATGGCTCACAGGCCACCTCTCGCGCCCCGAGCTGACCATCTACCGCACTCACTGTGTGCTCTAAGTGGCTGAAAAAACAATCAATTGTTTTTGAGCCCCTACGCCCTCGGGACGCGCACCGCGCTACTGCTCCCGGGCCAGGGGTGTAAGGGAACACACTAGGGCACACCAGGGCCGGTCTAGCCGGCCTTATCCCGCCCACAGCCTTCGAAAACGCACAAAAATCGCACCGCCGGAGCCGCGGCGAATCGCCGCCGGAGGCCGCGTGTCGCGCCACCGACGGCCGCACGTCGAACCCCCGGCTCCGCGCCGCTGCTCCACCGCGCCGGCCATCCAGCGCGCACCCCCCAAGCTGCTGGTGCCCTCTTAAAGGGCCACAAAGCCTCGAAAGGAGCCGTCGACCGTCACCTAACAGAGGGGTGTCAGCCCCGGGCTCGCCGCTCTTGCGAGCGGTCGGCGGCGTCTAGGGCGGAGCCAGCGGTAGTAGCGGTGGTGCCGGCGTGTGCCGTGACGGAGGGGGTGGCGGCGGGGCGCGGACGGCGGGGTGCGGCGGCCGAGGCTCGAGCGGGGGGGCGGCAGCGGTGGCACCATCGTCGGCGGAAGTTCGACCTGGCGGGTGAGAGGTGGGAGGCGCCGAGGGCGGAACCGCTGCGGACGCGGCGAGGTTGGAGGCGCAGAGGCCGAGGCGGCACGGGCGGCGGCGCCGACGGCACTGCAGCGCCGGTGCAGCGCCGGGGAGGGCGGCTGAGGTGGCGCGGACGGCGGTGGCGAGAAGGCGGGCGGAAGCTTAGACGGGTGGTGGTGGAGGAGGAGGCGGCAAAATCACGGGCGAAGCGCCGAGGGGGGCGGCGGAGGCGGTGCACCAGCGGTGGGGAGGGTAGCTACGGCGGCGGGGTAGCGGCCAGCATCGCCAGGGGGGGCGGGCGGTGCCGCGGGTGCCGCACGGGCGGCGGCGGCCGTGCCGGTGATGGCGCCTAGGAAAGGGGAGGCGCGGGTCTGAGAGGCGGACGCGCGGGCGGGAGAGGTGAGTGAGACCACGCACGCGGCTGCGGTCGCGTCGCGCCGTGCGGGAGGGGCGCCGGCGCAACCACGGCGGCAGCCGAGGCGGCTCATCGCGCCGTACAGAGGCTCCGGGGAGGCGCGCGGTGCGGCGGCGCACCGCTGGATCGCCGCGACAAAGTGTAGCCGAGGCGGGGCGGGAAGCGCCCGAGCCGGCCGTTGGGGCGGCGCCGACGCCGCCCAGGATGCCGTGGGCCGATGGTGCGGAGGAGCGGCCGCTCCCCCTCTCGGGGCGGCCGCAAAACCTGTGCAGGAGCAGCACCCCGAGAACGCGCCTGCTGGGGGTGAGTCGCAAAAAGTGAGATTGCGGGCCCCGCGCGGTTACTTTCTCCCTCCAAAGTGCATGTGCCTTGGGAAGGGGGTGCAAGCACACCTCCGCTACTCGGAAGATAGGGTCGTCTGACTCGATCGCGAGCGAGCGCGGGTAGACGGCGGCGTCCGCAAAGCGACGGCTCGCGCGCGACCGCGGGCTTGCGCGTCGGCCGTGCGCGGGCAGAGGGTGCTGAGGGGCGAGCGGTGGCGATCGCTCGCCCGGGCAACCCGCGCGCGGGCGGCGCGCCGCAGCGGGGAGCGCCCAGGGGCGCGGCGCGGCTGGCTGCGAGCGGGCGCTTGACATCGTTTTTGAGGAGAGATAGCCCAAAAAAATACCGCCGGATCAAGCACACAGTGGAACACTTTCGCCCCCTCGCTCCCAACCCATCCGCCTCGCCGAGCGCCGAGGTGCTGCAGAAGCGCGCGATCTCGGGCGATCTCGCGCCGCGCCGCGCGATCTCAGGCGATCTCGCGCTATCTCGGAGCCACGCCCCCTCCCCCACCCCACCCCCCCCCCTGAGCCCTGGCCTCGACACCTCGACACCAAAGGGAATGACTCCTGGCACTAGTGAGCTTGATGTCCTCAAATGTCCACAGAGTATACTGGTTGTGCTCACAGGCTGCTCACAGGTTGTGCTACATCAACAGGGGTGCAACTGAGAGGCTGCAACTAAGGGATAAAACAGCTTTGCAACTGCTGCCCAAGTTTTGTTGATGGGCTGCAACTGCATCCTGCCACACCTTGGACTGTTGGACACCCTAGACACCTCGACAACTCGACGCAAAACACCTTGACAACACTCGACACCCGCTCGACACGCTCGACACGCTCGACACCCTCGACACCCTCGACACCACTCCTCGACACCTCGACACCGGCAAGCATGGTATCAGCCTCGACAGGCCTCGACAGGCCTCGACACCCCTCGACACCCTCGACAAGGCCTCGACACCTCTACCCCTCGACAGCAGCTCGACACCCTCGACATCAGGCCTCGACACCTCGACACCAGGGCTCAGCCCCACCCCACCCACCGCCGCGCGCACGCACGCGGCCAGTCTCCGCGTGCGCGCCGCGCGGCGGCACCCCTGCTCAAAAAAAGGAAAACGGTCTGGTTGGAGCCACGGGGGCTCACGTACTCGCTCGGAGCGCCGCCTCACTTTGCGCCACTTTGAGGCGTTGAGCCCGCGGCGGTGAGGCGGCGCCCCGCGCGGCTCGTTCATCGCCCTCCACGCCGACCCCTGCGCGCACCGCTCATCTTGGCTCTCTCGGGGTTACTCTCGAACCCGACGGGACTATCTCCACCTGCGCCGACAGGTTAGGTCGGCGCTGCGCCCCTTTGGCGCTTGTGTGCATGTCCCGCGTGCCCGCCTGCCAGGGCTGATGCCAAGGCCAAATCAACAACATGCCCGGCTTTTGCCAAAAAAGAAAGAAAACAGACAACCCAAGGCGGCTTTTGGGGGCCCTGGGCGTTCGCGAAACGACCGGACCGGAATTTCTTTATTTTCTTCTTTATATTGCTGCTCGCTTCTTCGGCGTCCCAATCTTCGGGTCCCAAACTGCAGCAATCAACTGCCTCCTGTCGATGCCAAGCGACACCAAGCCGCTACGGTCCGCGCAGGCACAAGAAAGTGTGGCCGACGCGGTCGTCGTTGCGGTGCCAGCAGTGCCCGCGACGCTGCCAGCCGTCGTCACCTTCGACGTGCAAGCCACCGATGAGAACCTGGTGCGCTGAAGCAGCAGGGCCGTGGGCGGAGACAGTCACCCCCCCTCCGATAGCCGCGCTTATCCCCCCCCCCCCCCTGTCCTGTCGCGCCCTCACCTGCCCACAGGGCAAATGGCGCGGCGGCAACCTGTGCGACTGCTGCCTCGACTGCGCCGTCTGCTGCTCTGTCATGTACTGCCCGTTTGTCGGCGTGGCGCAGCTGGCGCAGCGGTACTCGCCGATGCGCGGCGGCGAGAAGGTCCAAAAGTGCAAGGTGTGAGCAGTTGGGCGGCGTCCCTCGCGCACAGCCACACGCACGCTTTGGTCTCCCCCCCCCTCTCACGCACCCCCCTCCTCGATCCGCGACCCGCATGCCGCGACCTCGGCTCCCGCCGCTCCCCTCCCCCGCCCCCCCACCTCCCCACCGGCAGGTGATCGCCGTGATCCTCTTCGTGCTGTTTGTGTGCACCAGCATCTTCAGCAAGATCTACTGGGAGAACTACATCGCTGCCATTCAAGAGTTCATGCAGTCCGAGCACGAGATCCGCGGCTTCTACGTCGGCCCGACCTACGAGGACGTCCAGCAACTCCAAGCCGAAGAACACGCGCTCTGGCCCTACAAAGCGCTCGCGGGTGCCTTCTCCGCCGCCTTCTCTCTCCTGACCTGCTTCCTCCTCCTCGGCGTTCGCGCGAGGTGACGCGGGCCGGACGCTTCCACAAGACACTTCTATCACCCGGTCCTTCTCCCTCGCGCTGCCAAACAGGGGCTGCCCCCGGGAAGCCCAACCCTGCCTCCACTTCGCACGCATCGCCATCACACATCAAGCCCCCCCCCCCAGTCTCATACAGCCACCCCTCAGTTCAGCCGATCGCCCCCCCCTTCCCCCCCCCCCCCCTCTCCTATCCCTCCCATGACCCCTCCCCCCCTCCTTCCCATGACCCCCCCCCCTTCTCCCCTCCGTCCCTCCTCCCAAAGGATCCGCCGGCAGCAGCGCATCCCGCCCTCCTGCTGCGGCGAGGCGATGGACGACTGCTGCCTCGCCTTTTGCTGCACCCCCTGCGAGACCTGCCGCATCATGCGCGCGCCTCGCCCTCATTCCCTCGCCGGCACTCGAACCTTCCCGTCTCGCACTTTCTCCACCACACACACAGTATCGCCCTCGCCTTCACACGACGGCGCGCGATCGTTGCCTCTCTGACAGTGCGCACCCTCCTCCCGCCCTAGGCGCCACGCCCTCGCCACGGCCACCCCGGCCAACCAGCCACCCGCCGTCTACGAGTTTTGCTCGCCCGAGGCGACCACGCTCGGCGAGGGCGGCGACGCGATGCCGATGCCCCCCTCGTACCCTCTGGCCGCGAACGCGCCGATCGTACAGGCCGTCTGATCGCGCCTCGCGCAAGAGAGCTCTCCTCTCGGAGTGTACTCCCCGGGGGAGGGTTGGAGGGCTGTGAGCGAAGTGCGAGCCGATCTCAGCACTCAGGCTCCAAAACGCCCTCGCTCCCGTCTCGTTGCCACATTGGCCCGGCGTTTGCTTTCTTAATTCTTATAATATAACTTCTTTTGTTTGCCTGTGTTAGTGCTAGCACGCGTCAGTCCGCACACCTGTGTGTCGAGCCTGTCTGCTGTGAGTGAGAGTTGTGTTTTTCTCTTAAATTCTTAATTCTTTTGCCCCTGTGTGCTGACCGCTGTGACGAGAGGGGATGTATACATGTGTATATGACGCTTGCTTCACAGCCGGCACGCGGCACCGGCAGGCCTTCACGCATCACGGCGAATCTCGGGGCGGACGGCGCTTTCTTGATGGTGATGAGACGAGAGGAACAGAGGATTCTACTTTGGAGGGTGAGGGTGAGGGGATTCGATTACGGCGAACCCCGCGGGTCTCGCTTCAGGTGTGTGCCGGTGAGCGGAGAGCGGTGTGTGCGTGAGTCCTGAGTGCGTGAAAATCGAGACGGACAGAGGTCACAGGACGCCTCGAACCGTCACCGCCACCCGCTCCCCGCTCCTCGCCGTGAGCCGCGCCGCCACGCCCGCCGCGTGCCGCGGCGGCACCAACTCGGGCTCCGCCGGCGCGGCGGCTCCTCGCGCTTCCGCGCCCGCTCCCGCGCCCCCCTCCCCCGCAAAGCCCGAGGCGATGCCGGAGCGTCCCGGCCGCACCGCCGCCGGCTCATCCTCTCCGAGCCTCTGCTCGAGCCCGCGCCACGAGCGGCCGGCGAGGTGCTCCGCCCCTGAGGTGGCAGAGAGGTCGTGGCAGCCGCGCGCGACCAGCGCCCCGCCCACGGCCGCCAGCTGCGGACCCGGCCCGCTCTTTGCGGCGCGGCGCTCCTGCGCGCCCGCGGCGCTGAAGAGCCGGCCCGAGACGAGAGAGTGGTCCGGAGCTTCGTCCTCGGAGTCGCCTCCGCCGCCGGCCGCCTCTGCGGCGGCCTCTGCGGCGGTGGCGGCGGCGGCGAGGCGTGGCAGGAGGGGGGCGTAGTCGAGAACATACTCGCCGCTCCACTCGTGCGTGGTGGAGAGGGCGAGGAGGAGCTCATACGGCGTGACCACCTGCCGGGGACAGGGTCGCGGATGGGTCCCCCCCCCCCCCCCCACCCCAGTCGTGGACGCGGCGTGGACGCCGCCGTGGCACTGCGAGGACGGGGTTGCGGACGTGCCGTGGGCATGCCGTGGGCGTGCCGTGGGCGTGTCGTGGCGTGTCGTGCGGGAGGAGGGGCGGGGCGGGGCCACCGGGCGGTAAAAGTCGCGGCTGTCGACGAGGGAGTGCTCCGACGAGCCGAGCAGCACGTACGCGCCGACCTCCGTGAAGTTGGCCAGCTTGGCCTGCGCGGCACGGGGCAGCGACGCGAGGGGTGGGAGGTCAGCGGGCGGGCGGCGGCGAGGCAAAGCCGTCAACGGCGGCGTCGGCGGGCGGAGATGGTGTAAGCTGGCAACGGTGGCGCTGGCGAGAGTGGCGCAGATGCTGTGGACGCGGGCGGCGGGCGGCGGCAGCGTACCGCGTTGAGTTTGCCCATGAGGAAGACCTATGGTGGACGTGAGTCGCGGACGGTGCGGGGCAGTCGTGCCGCGAGGTCGAACTGGAGGGGGGGGGGGAGGGGGGGGCAAGGCGTACGTAGTGCTTCCGGCCTCGCGCGCGGATGAGGCGCGTGAGTGCAGACAGCATCTCCGCCCTCCTCCCCGCCGACAGCGTCCCGATCAGCACGCCGAAGACGGCAACTTCGCGCGCCTAGTCTCGCGGCCGATCTCGGTCAATCTCGGTGCCCGACCTCGGCCCGGGGCAGAGAGGGCGATCCCGCGCGCCTTTTGCACGAGGTAGTATCGCCGCCGCAGCTGCGCCGCAGCACTGAGCGTCATGCGAGACACTCTCAAGGCGGGCTCCTCCTCGCCTCCGTCGCCACCACCACCACCGCCGCCGCCACCACCGCCGCCGCCACCACCACCGCCGCCACCACCACCGCCGCCACCACCGCCGCCGCCTCCTCCTCCGCCGTCGCCTCCGCCGCCTCCGCCGCCGCCGCCACCGCGCCCATTCTCCGCCGGGCGAGGGTCCGCCGGGTCGCACACCCACACGGGGGACGCGGAGAGGAGCACCAGCAGGTTGGACAACGTGGGCGAGGAGCAGGCACCGACATACAGCAAGCTGCATCCGTCGAGCGCGGCCCGGCTCAGCCTGCGAGGCAAGCGCCGGCCGAGCAGCTCGTCCGCGCCGCCGTCCGCGCCGCCCGAGAGCCCAACCGCCGCCGCGCCGAGCGCCTCCGCCGCCTCGGCGGCAGCGGCAGCGGTGCCGCCGCAGCTGTTTGCGGGGCCTGCCATGGCCGGAGCTGCGGCGGCGCCTCCCGACACGGCGTGGCACTCGACCTGGGCAGTGGCAACCATGGCGCCCGGGTGCGTGACGGCGAGGGCGGCGGCGAGGGCGGCCGCGGCGTGCGCGTACCGCAGCTCTGTCAGCACCAGGACGGCCTCGTCTGGAGCAAAGCTTGATCGGTAGGCGGCCGCGATGGCGGCGGGCGAGACGGGCTCGTCGCCAAAGACGAGGCGCGCCGCGATGGGGCCGGTCGCGCCGAGGTCGACCGGGCCGTAGTGCACCAGCAGGTCGGCGCGCACGTGTTGCGCAGCCACATAGTCAAGCTGCTGGCCGTCGAACGACGTGTCCGCAAGAACAAAGAGGCTCGCACACGGCGTGCCGGCCTCGGCCGCCGTGCGAGCTACCGCCTCTTCGAGCTGCCCAAGCACACGCGGCGCCAGCCAGAGCAGCGAGTCGGGGAACTGCAGCGCGACCCGTCGGAAGCCGCCTCGCGCCACGTGCAGCGCCGTGCCCTCGATGTCCCACCCAGCGCCGTCCGCCACGGCGATGGGCGTGGTGTCGAGCTCGCGGTCGTGGATGTTGTCCGAAGACGAGAGGGTTGCCGACATTGGTTGGCGATTCTTTTCAATTGGGCTGGCGAGAGGCCCGCGCGACTCGTGGCCGAGCCCGCGCACATCGAAGAAGAATTTTACCCCGCGCGCCCACGACACGATTAAAATCTTGTGTGCTGCACGCCCTGCGAGCGGGGCGGGGTGCGCACTGTCCCTCTGTGTTCGTGCGTCGCCCATCTCTCCTGGAGATGTCTGCTCTATTTATTTATACGATTAAATCCCTGTGTGGGAGAGAGAGAGATTTTTAGCAATACCTTTATGTGATGTTACAGGTGGGTTAAGAGGGAGATGTGCGCGAGCTGCGGGACCGCCGGGACGGCGGGCGGGTGATTGCGACTCGCCGCCACTTTTGGCGGGTTATTGGGACGCGCGTCGATCGGCCGAGATTCGGCATGGGCAGGCGAGGGTGTCACGGCCATGATCGTGGCTGCTGACGCCGGCGACAACCCGCTGGCGGACCGCCGCGAGGACCGGAAGGCGGCGGCAGAGCGGGAGAGGAAGGCCAAGGTGGCGAAGGTCGCCTCGCAGGCGACGAACGCGATGGCGGCAGTGCGGGCGCAGCTCGATTTGCGGGAGAAGGGGGCAGCAGACAAGGCGGCGAACAAAGCCAACGACGACGCGGGGGCGCCGGTGAGGGCCAATACCAAACAACTCTAACACTCACACGTCATTTGGGGCCTGGTGGCGGCGTGCCGTCCTCCCATCCCTCCCTTGGGTTGTCCGTTTTCTTTCTTTCTTTACGATTCGGGCGACGGCTAGCGCACCACACCCCTCTCCTTAAAATCCCTGTGGTGGCGGCGTGCCGTCCTCCCATCCGCCATCCCTCCCTTGGGTTGGGTGTTTTCTTTCTTTTTTACGATTCGCGCGACAGGCGAGGCGCGGGCGCAGAAGCCGTCGCCCGCACCACAGGAGCAGTCACACCACTCCCACTCCGGCGCCCACCCAGACCCACTCCCCACCCCGACATCCCCACCACACTCCACACCCCACAATCCCGCCCCACCCCGACCCGAGCAACCCCGCCCCACCCCGACCCGACCCGATCCACCCCGCCCCGCCCCGCCCCGGGATCGAAGAAGAATTCTGTAGGGCGCGTCTCTCACAGTGGTAATCTCGTCGTCAGCTGTCACGATGCACCCGAAGGGGACCCCAGCGCCAACATCATCATTTCTGTGCACTGTGGAAGTACAAGTGTCAAAACAAAGGCAACCCTGTCTGCACGTCTCGCGCGCGCGTGAACAGGGCTCCAGGCCCCAAATTACGTGTGAGTGTTAGAGTTGTTTGGTATTGCTAAAAATCTCTCTCTCTCTCTCAAGTGTCCGAAGAGAGAGTGGACCTGCGGCAACGATATGACTTGGCGGCAAATGATCGGAGTGGGCGTCAGAAGAGTCGTCCTTGCGCGAGGAGAGCTCGATAGACTCGAGGGGCCAAAATATGCCGCGAGGAGGGCAGAGCTGCGACGAAAGGCGAAAGAAGCCGAGAGAACAAGGGAACGGCAGGCGGCGGCGGCGGCGCAGAACGAGGCAGAGGAGAGCGACGCGACAGAGGAAGAAGCGACAAGGGAGAGCACGACGAGAAGGGGACGACCGCGAGGTGGCATGAAGGTTGCAGCGAGAATCGGCGAGAGACTGCGAAGAGAGATAGGAAGAGGCGGACGCCCAAGGGTGGGCGACGGCTAGCGCATCACACCCCTCTCCTTAGAATCCCTGTGGGTGGCGGCGTGCCGTCCTCCCATCCCTGCCTTCTTCTGTCTTTTCTTTCTTTCTTTCTTCTTTTGTGGTTCTTTGAAGGACACGAGACGTTTGTTATGACCCCCCCCAATGAACACACCAGTGAGGGTGGGCGAGACGATCGAGGGGTCCCGTACCATGCGGAACCGACCCTATCCAGTGCTCAAGTGCTCAGACGTTCGTCCGTCGTTTGGTTTTGCGGGTCGGGTTTCTCGGTCGGGGGGGACGGTGGGTGCAAAGTCAAGTAAAAACGAACCTCCCGCCATGGACGATCAGCAAAGTCCGCACCCGCTGCCGCTGCGTCCGCTATCCTTCTTCGGCCAGGGGCGCAGTTACCTCGTCCCGTACGTCGGGGAGGACATGGCGAATTTTCTCGTCCTCGCTCTCATCATCTACGTGCCATTGATAACCGTCAAAATCTACGTGCGCTGCTTCGGTGGGAAGGCCATCACGTTTGGAAACCCTTCCTTTCTTCAGAAAGCACTGGCCGAGGAGCGCAGGCACAGACAGCAGCCCCCCCCTCCCCAAATGAGCAAAGCCCCGACTTTGAGCGCATGTGCGTGCTTACAGGCGTGCCGAGAAGAAAGATTCAAAGAAGAGTGACTGAGCTCGTGAGCACACTCCACGACTATATCCTGCAATTCTGAGCGAGCGCTCGGCCAGCCAGGCCGTGAAGACCTACGTTTGTCATGTACCATGCATGTTGTGGGGACGGCGCACACGGAGTGGAAAGGTGGACGGGTCCTCCTTACATTCCGTCCTCTCCTATTTTTTCCCGCTCGTCTTACCGTATAAACACCTTCTCCGGACATGCATGTGTGTACCGGCCGACAGTGCGCGCGCAAGCCTCTCGGCCAGCACGGCCGCACGCCCCCCCCCTTTCTGCCCAATCCCGCCCCCTCCCCCTATCCCAACAAAAGCCGGCAAACTCTACAACCCCGACTATCTCGCACGCCCTGCAGCACGACCACGGTCGGTCCCCCGGCTATCAGCTCCCCACCATGACCGGCGCCATGCCCTGCTCCACCTGCTTGGAGTGCAGCCGCTGCCAGCGGTTGCGGATCGAGAGCTCCGACCTGCCGGGCATGATGCCGGCGATGAAGCCCCAGTTGTGGCCCATCTCGCGCACCGAGGAGAGGATGACCGCGTCCTGCTCGCGCGTCCACCGCTTCGTGTTCGGGTCCAAGTCTGCGCTCGACGGCGGCGAGCGCCGCCGCTTTGGCTGATGCTCCGTCGCCGCCGCGAGGGCGGAGAGCGGCACGGCAGCCTCCGGGCTGTTGAGGTCGGGCGCCTCGCCGCCGCCGTCGCGCTCGCGCTGGGCGCTGGCCTCGATCCGCGACCAGCGGTTGCGCACCGCGTCGTCCGACCGCTCCTCCAGCTGCAGCGAGATGCGCCGCCACTTCTTGCCGAACTGCAGCACGCCCTCGCGGATGACCTTGTCCTCCTCAGCCGTCCACTCGCGCCGCACAATCACCGCCTTCTCGCCGGGCGTCTCGGCGACGGCGTCGGCCGCCGCGCTCGCGACGTCCGCCGCCGTCGCCACCGCCGCCGCCGCCGCCGCCGCGCTCGCCGCTGCCCCCAGCCCGCCCTCGCCGATCAGCCCGCCCGCTGCACCCAGCCCCTGCAGCCCGCCCCCCAGCACCGCAATCAGCTCGTCCGGATCGAAGGCCGAGTCCTCGAAGGAGCTGTCGAGCTGCTCGAGCGCGAGGTTGATGTCGGTGCTGTCGGGGAGGAGGCTCTCCCGCGACCCGAGCGATTGCGGCCCGAGGACCCAGTCGAACGAACAGCCATCAAAGATGTCTGAATGGCGCCGCTTGACGCTCGGGGCGGCGATGCACAGGGACGGGAAAGATTCCGCGTCGGCGCGCTCCCCCCGCGAGTCGCCCCGCGCGTCGCACGCGGAGCCAACACGCGGCGCGTCGCCCGCGGTACCACCCACGTGCAGCGGCGGGGAGTGGTTTGCGATTGGCGAGGTTTTGCTCAGCGTCAAGAGCGATGGGAAGTCCTGGGACGCCTCCTTGCTGGGCGGGGGCGAGTCGTAGGTGCCCTCGATGACCTGCTCGTCCCCCGAGTCCGGCACCTTTATCGGCGACGCGAAAGCGGGCGGGACCGGCATCCCAGACCAACTGTGTCTAGAGTGGTGGCCTGTCCTGCTCTCTGACTCACCCTTCGGAACCGAACCTAAAGTTGACCGGGGATGCGGCGTAATCAAGAAACACTCGCTGCCTGCTAGAGATGCCTTCCGTCCTCCCATCCCTCCCTTGGGTTGTCTGTTTTCTTTCTTTCTTTTCGGCCCAGAGATAAAACTTCGGAGGTCCTGCGGGACCTAGTAGTGTCCCCAGCTATGGGCGTGTCCACGGTGGAGCCAGGTGTGGTTGGTGTGTGTGGACGCGAGCGAGAATAGCTCCGCCGTTCGTGGAGGCATCCGATGCGAGTCGACTGGTGTGTGTCGTCGTGGTTTCGTATCAAGAATACTCACTCACTCACTCACTCACGAGTCTCACTGTCGGTCAAGTGCGGCGTATCAAGTTCAAGAATACTCACTCACTCACTCACGAGTCTCACTTTCGGTCAAGTGCGGCGAGCTGCGGCGCGCATGCGCAATCCACAACGGGCTGTCACAACTTACGTGGCAAGAGATCCCGGTGTGGGACGCGTCGCAGCGTGAAGATGGCCTTGTGGAAGATGGTCTTGTCCCTGCGGTGAGGCTGACGCACACTTTCGGAACCTAAAGTTGATGCCCTCGCCGTAAACAAAGAAAAAAGGGATTCGGGTTCCCTCTCGCAGACACCCGCGCGCGCTGCGTCGAAGGGCCGCGACGCGGTCTGCGGCGTGTCGTTGTAGCTTGAGCACAAAGAAAGAGAAAGCAAGGACCCCACACACAACTACAAGAACACAACGCACTCTCTCGCATTACAAGGGACACTCTGTCATGTCATGTCGGGGAGGACAAGACCGATCCACCGAGGATGGACAGCCTCAGAACCCGAGCCGGCGCTGCCGATCACTCCCCAGGCGATCATCCGGCAGCGCTCGCCCTTCCGCCACCCCTCCCCCCACCACGCCATCCCCTTCAACTGCACCACCGCCCGGAGCTCCGCCCCCACCAGCCGCCCTTGGATGCTCCGTAATCAAGAAAAGCAGACCGCGGGTAGTTTCCCCCCATCCCCAGGGCCTCCAGGGCTCGCACCTCAACCGCGCATAGACCCAGCGCGCAGGCGCCGCAGGAGGTATTTTCTTCTCAATTTCGCAAGGTCGGGGGTGGAATCTTTTTTGTGCGTTGACTTCGCGCGGTGAGGAGCATATATTACCACGGCGTATGATGGCACTATGGGAGCGAGAGAGAACCGAACAGACCGTGTAGCTAGTACTCTCCTTCAAACTCTCCTTCACACAAGGACGCACAGGCCGAAGCGAAGTTTGCACCGCCACAATCGCTCCGTTCTCGCTCACACACAAACACACACCATATCACACAGCAAGTAAACGCAAAAAATGCTCATGCAACGACCACATTGCCGAGGAGAGCGCCCATGCACATCGCTCGCCGCAGCTGGCTCAGGCCGGAGCAGTGCCCCGCAAAGTCACCGTGCGCCCACGCGCCAGCTCGCGAGTCCTCCTCGTACCTCCGGTCCGCCTCGCGCTCCGCGTCGTAGTGCGACCAGCGCAGAAAAGTGTTGAGGTTCCACGCGCCCGGCGCGCGCTGCTCGAGCACGCCAATCTCGGACGCCCACTCCCCCGACTGCAGCATCTCCTCGAGGGCCTGCTGCTCGTGCAGGCAGGAGGCCTGTCCGTCCGTCGAGAGGGAGGTGCCGTCTGCGCGCCACTGGTCGGCGCGCGACCAGAGCGCCTCGAGCACCGCGCGGCCCCGCTTCGTGTTGCGCAGGATGATGATGCCCGTGTTCACCTCGGCGTGCTTGCTTGAAGGGTCGCGCGTGACGAGCAGGCTGGCGGGAGAGCGGCGGAGCGCCTGCGCAAAGCGGTCGCCGTCGCGTAGGTTGGTGAGGACGATGTCGTCATCGACCCACACAAAGGCCGACGCGTTGCGGAAACGGCGGGTGGCCAGTCGAAGCTGCTCCACCTTGTGCCAGTACGGCTGCCATCCCCTTGCAGCGACGAGCGAGCCCTTGTGCCACCAGTGCGCGTAGCCGTGGGCGCGAGCGAACCGAGCGTGGTTGGCGACGACCTGGTCGAGCATGGCCGCATTGCGGTCGCCTCCAGAGAGGAGGACGGGTCCGGCGACCTTACCAAGCGTATCGCCTCTCGGAGAGAGGGCGTCCTCAGGCAGCGACAAGAAGCTGTCCGGACGGGCGTCGATCCTTGTCATGAGGTAGCTGTAGAGCTGGGCGACGCAGGAGGTGGTCGGAGCTACCAATGCAGTGCCGTTGGCGCTCTCGTTCGTGGCGGAGGGAACTGGCGGCGGCGACGGCTCGCTGAAGGCTTGCTGCACCCACCTCTCCGCCTCGGCCGCAAAGCGCGATTGCATGCCGGCCTGTCTCAAGATGGCTCCGCCCTTCCAGCTGCGGACGGCATTCGAGAAGTCGCGGTAGATGACACCGCTTTCTTGCCTCAATCCCGGATGCATTGCCTCCGGATGGACCGGCCGGGCCGGCAAGGAGAGAGAAAACAGGCGCTGCTCGAGCCGCCTCCCAAAGCCGCGGCAAGAAGAAATTGCCGCGACGCCACCAAAGGCAGGGACGCCAATGACTAGCCGAAGGAGCGACATATGGAGATGCGTTGAAGCAGTGGATGAGTGAGTGAGTGTGCGTGCGTGCGTGCGTGTGTGTCACACTCACTCACTCTTTCACACAGTGTATGCCAATGCGAGCACTCGGCGACGCGAGTCCTCCTTTCTCTCTGTCTGATCGGCTTGGTAACGCAGCAAAAGATTTCTTCCAACGAGAGCTATCTTTCAGTAACGGATTTTGGCCCATGCGCATGCTCTTCCTCGTGCTCGCCGCGCGCTCGGGAGCCGGAGTGGCGGGGTCGGAGCTGCTGCAACGGCGCGAGTGGCCGCGAGGGGTCGTGCTGGGGCTCTCCAGAGGGCGAGACCACTACGCGGTGCTCGCGGCGGCGCACGGGGCAGCTTCAGCTGAAACAGAGCCTCAGCAGCGCCTTCAGGCAGTGCAGCACAACGCCAGTGGCCTCTCTGGAGCTATGCGGCGGCTGGCGGGCCTGTGCGATGGCGCCGATCCGTGGGCTCGGGACGCGCGGTCGGCTCGCGTGCCGGTTGCCGAGTCAGCCTGGCTGGCGAGAAGCGCCAAGGCCTTCCCTGCATTCTGGGCGCTGCCCAGAAGTGCGCAGTGCCTTTGCTGCGCCGACGGGCGGCCTCGATGCGGATTGCCGCGAGTGGCGTGGGAGCCTCCAGTGGCGCGGTCGTTGGTCAACACCGCGGCGCGCGCGCGCCGCGGGTGCTGCACAACAAGCGGAGTGCATGGGCGGGCGCTCGATCGCTTTCCGGCGCCCAACTTTGACTATCGATTGCCGCCGGTTATTATAACCGGTGGGAGATCGTTCCTGCAGACGGAGGGATTCAACGCGGCGATAACTGCCCGAGACGTCCCTAACCTTTATTTATTTCTGCCCTGCTTCAGGAACCGGGGGCCGTCTTCCTCAACCAACCAAACCTCATTACCGACTGCCGGTCGTTGGGGACACGTGACTCCTGCAAAGGGCAGTGTCTCCACCCGGGAGTCGGACATTCCAAACCCCCCCCTGCCCCCTCTCTCTCCCCCCCCCATCCTAGCCCTCTTTCTCTCTCCTCCTCTTTCTCTCTCTCCTTCTCCCTCATTCCCCCCCCCTCCCCCCTCTCCATCTCTGCCGCCCCCGTGCCAACCCCCGCCGCCGCCTCGCCTGCCTCCGCCTCCTCCGCCACCCCATCTCCCGCTCCCCCCCCCGCCGCCGTTACCCCCCCCACCCCCTCCTTCGTCGTTACCGCCGCTACCTCATCCGTGGCCGCCGACACCGACCCCCCCGCCTCCTCCGCCGCCTCCCTCTCCACAGCCGTCGCCGCTACCTTCACCATCACCCTCGCCCCCCTCTCCTCCACCTCCTCCGTTGCCGCCGCCTCTGCAACCCCCTCCCTGGCCACCTCCACCAAGACCGCCCACCCATCGACCCTCCCCCCCGCCTTCCTCTCCGCCGCCACCGTCCCCGCCGCCCCCTTCGTACCCGCCTCTCCCTCCGTCGCCACCGCCATCGCCATCGCCATCGCCGGTTCCGCCGCCCCTGACACCGGCTGCGCTACCGCCGTCGCACCGGCCATTGCCCTCCCCGCCACCACCATCCCCGCCACCGCCGTCTCCGCCCCCACCAAGTCCCCCATCCTTACCTCCACCTCCCCCTCCGCCATCACCAACTCCGTTGCCGTCCCCACCGCCCCCGCCCTATGCGCCATCACCCCCTCCGCCTCTTCCACCGCCGTTGCCGCCCCCCTCTCCTCCTTATGGCCCTGCGACCGCGCACCCCCCACTAGCTCCGAGTAGAGGGGGTGCGGTCTGCTGCTAGGGGGGCCCAAGGAAGCGCGAGGGAAAAATTCCGCCGCTGAGGGAAACCCGGAGCGCTGCCGTACGCCCTCGGAGACCCGTGTTATGGCCCTGCGACCGCGCACCCCCCCACGGTCGAGGAAGAGGGTGCGTTCTGCAGTTAAGGGGTAACCCGGTACACGGAACCATCCCTCGGAGACGTGTTATGGCCCTGCGACCGCGCACCCCCGGGGCTAGGGCTCTCTTGCCCGCAACCCGATGCCGAGCGTCCGGCCAACTGGGTGCGCTTCTTAGCTCCCCGGTCCTGGACGTGAGGTTGCTGACCGCACTCCAAGTGCTCCAAGTGCTCCAACGTGCTGCACCAAAAACACGGGAGAGAGAGAGAGAGAGAGAGAGGGTGTGAGGTTGTGGCGGCTTCGATCCCAAGGGGGGGAGCTGATCCCACTCAATAACCAACTCTCAGGGGCAGTAGGTGGGCGAGCTTCAGGCACGCTCATCTCGATCGTCAAGACGTCGCTACGCGCGGTCTTCCGCGGGGGGAGCTGCGTCGACGGGTGCGGGACCGCGGCGCAGCCAGTGCCGCGGCGAGGCCTCCGGCTGTTTGCGGCGGGCGGCTTGCTGCTCGCTGCGATGGCGAAAAACTCGTCTCGCCACACGCCAAGGGCTTATGCTCTGGCGAGACGTGAGGCGCATGCGCCCAGGAGGGGAGGGGGCATGTGTAACGACACTGCTAGAGATGCCTTTCGGGGCCCAGAGATAAAACTTCTGTGATGCCATGCGTGACCTAGTAGTGTCCCCAGCTATGGGCGTGTCCACGTTGGAGCCAGGTGTGGTGTGGGCGCGAGAATAGCTCCGCCGTTCATGGAGGCAACCGATGCGAGTCGACTGGTGTGTGTCGTCGTGGTTTCGTATCAAGAATTCTCTCAAAAACACGGGGTCGCAGCGTGTGTGTGACGCACTCCACGGACCACGCGCAGTCGTCGCCCCATCCGTGCGACAAGAAGGGCACCACCACCCACCGCCCGCCCATGCCGACCTCCGCCACCCTCCCGCCGCCCTCCCCCCTTCCCGCCCGCCCTCCGCCTTCGCCATCCCCCACCCATCTGTGCATTCCACTCCGTTCGCTCCCTCCCGCTTGGCGCCCGTCCCGCCCTCCGCCCTCGCCCTCCGCCCCTGCCCTGGCTGGCCTGGGCGACATCCCCACACCATCAATCACGCGCCAAGGGGGAGGGAAGTGGACGGGGCCCTGAGCCGACCTAGCCGCCAAACGGAATGGGGCGCCCAACACGTGCCGGATTACTGTGCCTTCCCCGGGCACAGCCTTTCGGCTCGTGAAGGGTTCGGTGCGTGTCGTGACCCCCTGGAACACCCGTACCCCCGCACTATCATCTATCTCCCGTCGCTCGGTTGCTCAATCAACCTTTGCCACCACCGGGAGCGGCCAGGACTCATAGACTCGGTCGAAAGACCCTAGATTGGCAACTCATGCCTCTCTGGACTCTGCACTCTGGACAGGGTGGCCCGCCACAAGGACCCAGGAATTGCGACTCGCCGCTTTCCTCCCGTTGTGATTCTGTGTGCACTTGGAGCACTTGGAGTGCAGTCATCAGCCACCCCTGTGAGTGAGCTCTTCTTGATTTGCCAACAATAGACTTACAACCAACCGAGGACTTTTTCCTTGTTTTGGCGGTGGCGCTCGTTCGCAGTTGGGAACCGCGTTCTCTCGCCCTGGAGCGCGGTAAGGCGGGTGGGCGAGATCAAAAGCGGGCAACAAAGAGCGAAAAAGAAAAAAGAAAAAACCCCTCCGCGGAGTTCTTGGAGCACTTGGAGTGCAGTCATTAGCCTCACATCCAGGGCCGGGGAGCTAAGAAGCGCACCCAGCGGGCCGGATGATCGGGATCGGGTTGCGGGCAAGAAAGCCCTAGCTCCGGGGGTCCAACAGGACTTTTTCCTTGTTTTGGCGGTGGCGCTCGTTCGTAGTTGGGAACCGCGTTCTCTCGCCCTGGAGCGCGGTAAGGCGGGTGGGCGAGATCAAAGCGGGCTACTTCAAAGAGCTAATGAGAAATCAAGAAAAAGAAAACGACTTCGGGCCACTTGGGAGTGCAGTCATTAGCCTCACATTGTCGCGTTGTGAGAGCCTGCTCTCCCGTCGCGGATTGGGCCGGCGCAGGCGTCCGGCCAATGGCATCTGACTTCTATACCGATTCGTACAGTGAAAATCTCGACGCCTTGTTCGCCAAGAAGGGAGTCGCACACGGCGTGCGCCGCCTGATTGAGGCAGGGATCGCAGCGATCCATGATGATGATGACGGTGCACTCGCTGCTGCCCTTGACGAGATGCCGATCAATATCGACTTCTACCCCGTCTCGGCGTGGCCGGCCGGCGACTCGCTCCTCTCCTACGCCGCGCGCCTCTCCGCGCCGCGCTGCGTCACGCTCCTCCTCTCACAGGGCGCGACGCTTGACCTCAAACTAGAGGGTGGCGATACGGCCCTCCTCACCGCGGTGATGCAGACCCCCGTGGTGTGGGAAAGCATGGGCATCCTCAAGGCAGAGGGAGGCGTATCCAAAGCTGGCGTCGCCGCCGCCACCCGCGACAGAATGGCCCGCGCTCTCGACGTCCTGAAGCGCATCCTCGGCGCGGGCGCAGCCATCAACCTCGCCGACTCCGACGGCTACTCCCCGCTCCTTCTCTCTGGCCACTTTGGCGCGCCGGAGTTCATGTCGGTTCTGTTGGACGCCAGCGCCGAGGTTGACCAGCGCGCTGACAACGGCTGGACGCCGCTCGCCCAAGCGGCCTCCGACGGCCGGCTTCGCTGCGTCGAGCTGCTCGTGGGAGCGGGCGCGGCACTTGATTGCGGAGGATTGGCCAACGCCGCCGGCAACGGCCACGGAGGCTGCGTCAAGCTGCTGCTCGCCGCAGGGGCGGGCGCCGATTGCCTGGACCCCGGCGGCCAGACGTCGGCGCTGTGGAAAGCGGCAAAGGATGGACACCTCGAGTGCGTCCAGCTGCTGCTCGCTTCCGGAGCGGACGCCGGCTTGGCCGTAATCAAGAAGAGCGGCGACACCGACCCTATCCGGGGGCCGGGGGGCGGGGAAGGCACCACGCCCTTCTTCATGGCTTGCCAGAACGGCCACCTGGAGTGCGCTCAGCTCCTCCTTGAGGCTGGCGCCCCGGTGGACAAGCTGCGCGACTTTGACGGCTTCTCTCCGCTGCTGATCGCCCTGTGCAATAGCAACCGCGACTGCGCCCGTCTGTGCGTGCGGGCGGGGGCGGACGTCAACCGCGTTGTGAGGGGCGGTGTGACGCCGCTGCTCGTCGCTTGCCAGCTGGGCCTCCTCGACGCGTGCCAGCTGCTCTCCGCCTTCGGCGCCTCTCGCGCCGCTACGCCGCTCGGCACGCCCGATCAGTGCGCGGTCCATCACAAGCGTGCCGATGTGGCCGCTTGGCTGGCCGCCAGCCGCGGCCCCAAGTGGACCCACTACGTCCGGAACGGGGCGCAGGTGAAGTCTTGGCTGCCGCTGCAGCATCTCGAGGCGCACGGAGTGGATCTAGAGAAGCCTCGGCTGACTGGGCGCGACCTCGTCCTCTCTTTCCCGTGCAGGCGATCACCGTCGAGCGGGCGCGGGCGCTGCTGCGCGGCGGCGACGACCCGCTCGCCGGCGAGCCTTCTGCCCTCGAGCGGGCGCGCGTCCTCTGCTCGTGGGGCGAGTCGGATCCGACCGCCGCGGCAGTCGGTTCCACCGTCACGATCCACTCTCTCGTCTCGCGGCCCTCGATGAACGGCGAGGTCGGCGTCGTCGTCTCAGCGAACGCCTCGACGGGCCGTTTCGGCGTGCAGGTGGCGGGCGAGGCCAAGGCCCTCGCACTAAGGTGCGCTATGCGATGGTCTCTCCCCCACTCCCCGGAGCCTCTCCTTGAACACCTCCCATGCCTCTGCCCCCCCTCAGGCCGGCCAACCTGCAGCCAGCGGCCGAGGCGGTGGAGGTGGGCAGGCTCATCCTCAAGGCGGCGGAGTGGTCGCCGCAGTCGCACGAGCTCTTCCCGGAGGCGGCTCGCAAGCGGGCTGTCGAGGTGATGCGGTTGGGCTACCTGATCGCGTGGGACGAGGAGCGCTTCGAGGGCCGCGCGGGGCCGGAGCTGCTGGACTGCTGGCGTAGCTTCGTGGTGCCCAAGGTCGTCGAGCGCGAGGATCGTGAGCGCGAGTTGCGCGAGTTGCGCCGCGTCTCGGAAAAGATGGCGGCGGGCGCGGGCGCGATGGGAGCGTTTGTCCTCGATCCCACCCAGTTCTGACCGCCATAGGATTCCTATACCCCTAATGCACGCGAGTAGATCGGACGTAGAGCGATCCTTGGGAGGTCGCAGGGTCCCCTCTCCTTTGGGGGCGGGGCCAGCTCGGTTGTCATGCCGCGCGTACACTGTCGTAATGCTGTCTTTGTTTGCATTGGTGTTTTGCTGTGTTTGTGTGTGTGTGTGTGTGGCCGCCTCCTGCGCGCTCTAGGCGGGGGTGGGCCTCTACCTGCATGTACTGTCGCGGTGCCTGCCGCCTGCCAGCCTGCCTGCCTGCGCGCAACCGTGATTTTTATTGACATTTTACGTGAGCGCGATCATAGCACCGGGGAGGGGGGAAGGTGCCGGTGCTGTGCTGCCCTCTACGGCTTTACTTTAGTTCTGCCACTTTCCACCTACCCACAAGATAAACCCAAAAAACCGTCGTGAGTTTAGCTGCAAGGAAACGGATCGTAGAAAAGCGTCCACTGCTGGCACGTGGCAGGGGACGCAAGCATGACACGCTGAAGAGAGTTGCATTTCGCCCCAGTAGTCGTCCGTAAAACTTGGAGCACTTGGAGTGCAGCGTGTCGGTAACCTCACATCCAGGGCCGGGGAGCTAAGAAGCGCACCCAGCGGGCCAGATGATCGGTATCGGGTTGCGGGCAAGAGAGCCCTAGCCCTGGGGGGGTGCGCGTTCGCAGGGAAAGGAAAGGGCCGTAAAGTAAACACGGGTCTCCGAGGGTTGGCTCCGTGTACCGGGTTTCCCCTTAACTGCAGAACGCCCTCTCTACTCGGAGCTAGTGGACACGACACTGGTACACCTTGCACATACACGGGTCCTCACTCAGCACATCCCGTCTCGGGGTTCCACCGCCCGCCCTGCCTAGACGAGTACAGCTAAAGAGTACCCGGGGCTCCCCATGGTTGCGGAAGACCTCCCTGTGGGGGCCCGTGAACATCTTTAGCTTGTGAGCCAGGAAAAGGGTTGGTTTATTTGCCAGCGACAGCGCGTGCGCAGTGTCATCAAGCGCCCGAGCGCCACGAAGTGGCGTCCCCAGCAAAAGAAATATCGGGATTTCTTTCGAATTTACTGGGCGAGCGGAGAAAAAATCTTGATGGGGAAAGTACGTCCGTCCGTCCGTCGTGGGAAAGTACGTCCGTCGAGAGAGATTTTGTCGAAACAGAGAGGCGTCCACGGGGAAATGCGGCCGAGCACGGAGGCATCGTTCTGCCAGCAGTCTCGAACTGCATTGTACGTGGAAGCGCAGATAGCGATGACAGGCGTACGGCTAGGATACGTCCCGTCCAGGGAAGCTCCGACGCCTCTCGACTGGCATCCGACGCACCTAGACGGGCATCTGCGCAATGAGTACTACATTGAGGCCTGGCTGCAATACAAACTCAGAGCGAACATCCGATCAAGAAGCTGGCCGCAGATGGAAGACGGCTGGCCGTTGGATCGGCGTCTATGGAAAGCACCCGAGGACGGGGGGGGGTGCGTGGTGTGGGAGCGGCCGGGAGTCGTCTTCTCGAGGGGGCTTGTCGGGCTGGGCCTAGTGAGATGGGTTGACATGTACCACGCCAAGGGGTGGGCCCCGTGGGAGGTCATGAGCGATCGCCTGCTGGTGCATACCCAAGGGCGAACGTCCAGCTGGGAAAACAAGATCGCACTGGAATACAAGAACCTGGTGGATGTCACGCTGCGGGACGCGGTGGCAGTGCGCTGGCTCCGGGCCTTCTCCGACAAGTGGCACGGCGAGGACCCGCCTCGCCACGTCGCACCGCTCCAGGAAGAGATCGACAAGTACCGTCAGGGGTACGAGATCGAGCGCATCGTCGACGTCCGCGAGTCCGGAGCGCTGAACGAGCTGGAATACCTCGTGCAGTGGAAGGGCTTCCCCCTAGCAGAGCCGGCAGGCACCCCGAGCTCGCAACGCCCTTCACGACTGGGAGGGCCAGGGAGCGCACGTGCTTCGATCGCCGGGGGCACCATGGAGGGTGCGCCTGCGCCACGGAGGCACTCCGGGCGGCGTATGCGATGTGGGGGGAGGGCCGGGGAGATGCTGCCTCGGCGCGCGCTGCCGCGACGCGGCACGGAGTCGACCGGGCCACGCCGGCGAGGGAGATGCGCTCCAGCGAGGGTCGCGTCCTTGAAACCGCCGACGCGTTCCTGGACGACAAGGCCGATCGACTCTGGAGGACGCGGTCGGCGGCGCTTCGCGAACTGGCACAGAAGGTTCGAGACGGCACGGATCTTGTGCTCCTATGCGCGGGTAGGATTGAGTCCTGTCACGGCGATCTGCTGAGGAAGGGGATCCTAGCCGACGCGGCGCAGCTCGAGGCCACCAGCAAGAAGAAGCCGCGCTCCGACAAGGGCAAGCCAAGGGGTCCTCGGGGGCCCAGGGCCGACTCGGTGGAGACGGCGGCCCGCATGGGGGTGCTGTCGACCTTCTACCTCCGGCACGCTTATGGACGGGACAGCCCGTGGCTGCATGAAGAGGACGGGGTGCTCTCCGCGAATGGGGGGGTGCTGTGCGCGGGGTGCGGGGAGGAGGCGCCCGGGCTTGGGGCGCGGGACGGGGTGGGGGATGGCGGTGAGGGGGGGGGCGTGGGCGAGGGGGGGGAGGGGGGCGGTGGGGAGCGGGGGAGGACGAGGGGGAGGGATCCAACTGAGGAGGAGGTGGTGGGGGTGGAGGGCGGGGAGGCGGGGGGCGTGGTCGGGGAGATGGGGGATCCGGGGGGGCGGGTGGAGGAGGGCGGCCCATCGGGGGGTGCGGGGGGAGGGGGGGGGGGGGCGGTACCCGAGGAGCAAGCGCCAGAAAACACCCAACCAAAGGGATGCCGCCCGGCGTAAAGGGTAGGCTGCCCGAAATCGGCACTGGATGCGTGCCCGCGTGATGGAATGGGGACGGAGTACGACTCGGAGTTGCTATGTCTGCCTGTCTCGCCAGAAGACCCCCCCCCCCCCCCCGCCCCTTGCGGGGGAGCGGGGGGGAGGGGGGTGAAGAGGCGAACTCCGAGGCGGAAGGAGCGACTGGCGCGCAGCCAGAGGGAGTCCCCACCTGCACAAGCAGGATCTTGTAGGACGATCAGGGACACAGGGGAACGGGAGCGGGGAGCGCATCGCGACACGGAGGGGGGCTGGGCAGGGGTTCACCCTCACGACAGGAATCCCATCTCTCGTATAGGACAGGTTGCACCCGGCGGCACGGGGGCAAGCGCGGGCCTCCTACTGGTTGCGCTCTCCTAGTTCTCCTGCTCCTGACAAGGGACAGCGACAGGCTCGCAGCACGGTGGACTCCCTATCCACTGGCGATCTCTCTCGACTAGCGACCTTCCTCCGACGTCTCACCGGCAGTCTCTTCTACCACAGGCAGACTGACACGTGGGTGGCAGTGGCGGTGATAGGAGTCTCCCACTCTGTGGGCCTCGCTAGAAGTGCGACCCCTGCGCGTGTCCTCGCCCTTGAGGAAGGGGAAGGGGCTGTGTGTCTGTGCATGTGTACAACATGTGTGTGTGTGTGTGTGTGTGTGTGTGTGTGTGTGTGTGTGTGTGTGTGTGTGTGTGTGTGTGTGTGTGTGTGTGTGTGCTCGCTCGCTCGCTCGCTCGCTCGCTCGCTCCCTCGCTCGATCGCGCGCGCGCTGCGCGAGCCGCCCTGCCCGCTGCGCTGCTAGGGTTGCGCTGCGGGAAGGGCTCGGCGGCCGTTCCTAGAAATCCTCGTCGCTCCCCTCGTAGAGGGAGGGCTCGTTGGACTCGAGGAGTGGGCCGCCGTCGGAGGAGGAGCGGGCGGCTCCGCGGGCGACGCTCGCCCAGTTCTTCTTGTTGCTCTTGACCTCGCCGCCGCCGCCGCCGCCGCCGCGGCCGCCGCGCCCGCGCCGCCCGCGGCTTGTGCCCAGCCTGACCGCGCTCGGCATGCGCTCGTAGATAGTGTCCTTGAAGGCGGAGTGGAGGAGCGCCTCGAAGTTGACGCACGGCGCGTAGCGGCAGCGAGCGGCGGTCTTGCACGGGATGGCGGTCTGGTTGAAGGCCGGGCAGAAGCCGATCCCGTCGCGCACCGCCATCGCCTTGGCCTTGCCCGCCGCGCGCGCGACCTCGACCCTGTTGTCGACGATGAGGCTCTCGAAGGTCTTCTTCTTGGCGACGTTCGCCGCTGCGGCGCGCCTCTCCTTGAGCGCCTGCGCGCCGCACTGCGCGTCGTGGATGATGTCGGCGCTCGTCGTCGCAAAGGCGCGGCACGATGGGCAAAGCTTGTTCCCGAGCACCTTCACACTCCCGACGTCGAGGCGGAGGGGTCCGCCGACATCGCCGCTCGCGTAGACGTTGGGCAGGACAGGGAGGTTGCAGACGAGGTTCTCGTTCTTCACCTTGAAGAGGATCGAGCCGTCCTTCTCGTCCGACTTCGTGCCGAGGAAGGAGTGGTATCCCTCCTGGATGGAGACCACGTTGCCGAAGTGCTTCTCCAAGAGGGGGGCGAAGTGCTCGATCTGGGCCGCGGTGTTGATGGCGCCGCGCGTGCGTATGGCGAGGAGGCCGTCGGAGTCGATGGTCGCCTGGGTCTCGCGCGCCTCCGCCTGCTTGCCCCACACGGTGGCGTCGAGAGCGGCGAAGGTGATGGTGATGTTGTCTGGCGCTGGGAGCTGTAGGACGCCACCGCCGGCGTACTGCTCGAGGAAGGCACGTGCCTCGCTCTCGCCGCTGAAGGCGACGCAGATGGCGCGCGACGTGCCGATGACGGGCACGCTGATCGCGCTCGCCGGCTGCGCCTCGCAGCCTGGCGTCTTCCTCAGAAGCTGTCGAATCTCGGTGACGAGCGCCGTCGTGTTCTGGATGTCCGGGATGTGCGAGCCGTCGCGCGCCGCGAGCGCGACGTGCAGCAGGCGCTTCGTGCCGCGGTCGGTGCCGGCGGCCGCCGCAGCGGCCATCTGTGCGGCGTCCACCATAATGGTGTCGCCTTCTTTGGCGTCGTCGTCGTTGACGCGCGCGCTCGCGAGCTCGCCGTCGAGGCGGCGCTTCACGCCGAGTCTCTGGCCATCATCGGCCTCTTGCGCGCCGTCGCGGCCGCGCGCCGCGCCCTCGGCAGCGGCAGCGTTGAGCGCCGGCGGCGGCAGGCCGGCCGAAGCGAACGCCATTCAAGTGAAGCGCCGTTCAAGCGTGTGCCTGTGTAGGCGTCCACGGTGGCATTCGGTGATTATTTCTTTTTTTAACAAGGCCAACCCTTCGACCGCTGGGTGGTCCAGCACCCTTCCTTCCTGCCTCCGCCTCCTGCCTCCGCCGCATCAATGCGGAGTGGCAGCTACGTCCACGAGCGGGCGGCCTCCTCCTCGATGCGAGTCGATGGCGGCTCGGCGCGCGTCGACGAGAACTACTCCTTCCTCAGCCGCGTCTACGAGTCGCTCGCGGGCTACGTTCGGATTGGATCCGTGCGGAACGCGGCTCGGCTACTGCTGCGAGAGAGGCACCGAGAGGAGGAGGAGGAGAAGGAGACGAGCTCGCGCGATTCGATGGCATCAGTAGCGCTGCGAGCCCGCAGCAGGTCCACCGCTGGCGCCGAGGCTGAGCCCGAGGCGATGGGAGGCGACGTCTTCTGGTGCTGCACGCCTCGCTTCGAGACGGCGTGCTTCGCACTTTGCGCACTCAACACCGCTCCGCTCGGCGGCTTTGTGCGCAGCGCGATGGAGGCGTCGCTCAAGGAGATCTCGTACTTCATCACGGACACGGCCGCGTACATCGTGAGCAAGATGTGGGACGACATGCTCGCCTCTGAGCTCTTCAAGATCAACACGCTCTTCCTCTGCTCAGAGAAGTACGACCGGCCGTGCAACCAGCCGGCGCCGACGCACGTTCAGTTCGAGTTCTCCTTCACCCTCCTCGCCGCCTGCGCGCTGATCAAGACCTGGATCGAGACGCGGGCGAGCCGCAACAACCGCGGCACGCTCATCGTCCCGACCATGCTCGGCGTGCTCCGTCGGATCGTCGCCCGGCATGTCGAGCACACGCCCGTGACACGCCCCATCTCTCCGCAGGCATGCTCGTCGGCTGGTCGTTTGGAAGGGCCTTCCTCGAGCTCCGCGTCGACGCTGAGCTCGGCCCGTCGGCTGCGCAGAGATGGCCGAGGCGGTCCAGGGCGCGTCCATGACATGTCCGAGACATGTCCCACAGGCATCTTCAGCTGCGCAAAGTCGGCCGTGGCGGTCCGGTTGGACGACGCGGACCTCGGCCTCGGCGTCCTCTTCCGTGCGCACGACATCGCCGATGCGCCCCGCACTTGCGCCCACCCGCCCGCGCCGGTGGGGCCCTTCTCCAAAGCTATTCGGAACGATCCCGCAGGCGCTGCACCTAATCCACCACCCTCCCTCGCCCGCGCCGCCGCCGCCGCCCGTCGCCGATTTTGCGAACCTCGGGCTCGCCCTCACGCCGCACGCGGGCGCCGCGCCGCCCGTCTCGCTGGAGTGCATCGAGTCCGCCTCCTCGCCCTCCTTCCGAATTTGGAGGCCCCTCGGAGTCCCCAGCCTTTGGAGCACGGTTCCCCGGAGAGGGGCCAAGGGGGGCGGCCCCGGGCCAAAGGGAAAACCCCCCCTCGCCCTCCAAGAGGCCGACCGTCCCCCTTGCTGCGAGCACAGGCGCTGCTCATCCTCCTCCTCGAGCCGGCCGCCATGCTGGAGAAGTTTGGCACCACCGGCTGCCGCCGCCGCGTCGGTGTCCAGTTTAGCTCCTTTGTGCAGCTGCTGTCCAAGGCGCCGCCGGCCCTCGCCCTCCGTCCCTGCCCTCCCCCTCCCCCTCCTGACGAGCCCCCGGCCAGCGTCTGCCCCTCCCAGGCTGCCGCGACCACCTCCATGATCGTGTGGAACGACGCTCTCGCCTACTCGGTCACCGCCGGCATCGGCGAGGAGCAGCCCGAGGCCAAGCCGCGGCGCCCCTCTCTGCTTCACCTCCCTGCTTCACGGTCGATGACTCATCAACCGACCAATGTAGGTCAAGCAGCGCATCCTACTGCTCTACTCGCTCACGATGACCTTTGCCGGCCGCCGCCGCCTCGACGCAGCTCCCGCCCCGCGCTCCACGCGAGATTGAGCCGAGATGGGGCCTCTAGGCTCCGCCGTCTCGATGCAGTTCCAGTCTTGGTCCCGCCACCTGACCACTCTCTCCGAGGCGTCGGCGCGCAGCGCGCAGCGGCACGCCGCCGCTAAGCGCGAGTTTGCCGCCGCCGGCCGCAACTCGGCGGTGAGCGATCGGAGCAGCGCCGGCGACCCCGACTTGCTGCGCAAGCTGGGCCGCAAGATCCGCCGGCTGCGGTTGCGCGTCCATTTTGCGGCCGTCTCGCTCCGCTTCCTCGTCGTGCTCGAGGGTGAGACATTTCGCAGACATTTCGCAGACACTTCGCAGACACTTCGTGCAGACACTTCCTCGCGAGGAAGCATGAGCGCCCCCCCCCCCCCCAAAAAAAAAAACCCCTCGGCCGCCCCGCCCCTCCGCAGGCACCTTGGGGTGGGTGGCGGGCTGTGCGTGGACAGACTACACCGTCGCGCTCTACCCGTCGATCGGCGAGTTCCCGGTCACGCCGCCGAACACGCCGCTCTGGAACAACCCGCTCGTGAACAACGTCAAGGTCGCGCTGATCCTCTCCGCCCTCGCGCTCGTGTACATCACGTTCACGGGCAACTCCGCCGCCAAGGGCGCCCGCGAGAGCCGCGAGCGCATCTTCATCGGCGGCGCCTTCTCCTTCTTCTCGGGGTGGGCGTGGATCGCCGTCGTGCGCTGCATCTGGGCGCTGCCATACGCGCAGCGGCGCGAGGCGGTGCAGGGCTACCTCACCGACGACACGCGGTACGGCGTGGAGGTGACGCTGGCGCTCCTCTTCTGCCCCCTCTTCACGTGGCTGGTGATCCGAGCAGCGCTCTACACCAAGAACGCCTACGAGCGGCGCGCCGGCATGACGCTCTGGAGGAGGCACGTGATGGCAATCCGCACCTGGGTGCGCGCGCGGCGCAACATGCAGCTCTCGTCGAAGAGGAGGGGCTCGCCGCCGCGCAGCGCCAGCCCCGCCGCGCTGCCGGAGCTACTCTTATGACGCGGGCGCCGAGCGCGGACCGCGGCGCCATCCGTCCGCCCTGAAGCTGAGTACCTTTACCAGACCACCCCTTCATCGTTGCTGTTTTTTTCTAATTCAAAGGATTCCGAACCTGAAGGTGAAGCAAACCGCGCACTTGGAGCAAGAAAGAAATCGAGGGGTTTGGCCTTCCGCCAGGTGGCTGCCCAGGACGCAGGAGCGTTCCGTATTCCCTTTTTTTCCCTTTCGTCCCCGACTTCCAAAAAATCTTAGAACTAAAAGCGACATTTTTTCTTTTTTGACGTCCTCGCAGGAGTCGCTTAGGCGGCTCCCGTGGGTGGTGTACCTGTGTTAAGTGCCAGTGGGCAGTGCGCGCGCTAGTCCCGTGCGCCTGTCCCGTGCCCAAATAAATAAATAAAACGGACACCAAACGAGGGGTGGGTCCCGTGCCCAGAAAGAAAGAAAGAAGACAGACAAACCCAAACGAGGGATGGGGGAGGAGGACAGGGTCCACACCTGCACGAGCAGGATTTTGGAAGGACGATCAGGGGACAGGTGGGGCTCTCCTGCTCCTGACAAGGGACACGACAGGCTCGCAGCGCGGTGCACGGTGGACTCCCAACTCCACTGGCGGTCTCATCTCAGTCTTCCCGTGCCCAGAAAGAAAACAGACAACCCAAAGGAGGGAGGGGTCCCGTACCACGCGGAATCGACCCTATCCAGTGCTCAAGTGCTCAAGGAGGGATGGGAGGACGGCACGCCGCCACCACACAGGGATTTTAAGGAGAGGAGTGTGGTGCTAGCCGTCACCCACCCTAACCCTTGGGCGTCTGCCTCTTTCTATCTCCCTTCGCAGTCCTTCGCTCGCCGATTCTCGCTGCAACCTTCATGCCACCTCGCGGTCGTCCCACTCTCGTCGTTCTCCCCTGAGCGCTGAGGGAGGGTGTAGAGGATGTAGAGTGTAGAGCGCTGTAGAGCTGTAGAGATGTAGAGCGCTCTGGAGCGCTGTAGAGCGCTGTAGAGCTGTAGAGCTCTACATCCACCGCGTGACGAACTGCCTCCGTTGTAGAGCGATGTAGAGGCGCTCTACAACGTGAAATCTCTACAACAAGAGAAAAGGGGCCTAGAGAACACAACCCCCTCTCTGAGAATCCGCCAGGATTCTCATTTGGCCCATGCGCGTGCTCTTCCTCTTGCTCGCCGCGCGCTCGGGAGCCGGAGTGGCGGGGTCGGAGCTGCTGCAACGGCGCGAGTGGCCGCGAGGGGTGGTGCTGGGGCTCTCCAGAGAACGAGGCCACGGCGCGGCGCTCGCGGCGGCGCACGGGGCAGCTTTGAGCAGTGCAGCGCCTCAACAGCAGCTTCAAGCAGTGCAGCGCAACGCCAGCTACCTCTCCAAAGCTGCGCGGCGGCTGGCGGGCCTGTGGGAAAGTGCCGGGCCGCGTGCTCGGAACGCGCACTCGGCTCGCTTGCCGGTGGCCGAGTCAGTCTGGATGGCGAGAAGCGCCAAGGCCTTCCCTGCATTCTGGGCGCTGCCCAGCAGTGCGCAGTACTCTCGCTGCGCCGACGGGCGGCCTCGATGCGGATTGCCGCGAGTGGCGTGGTGGCCTCCAGTGGTGCGGTCGTTGGTCAACACCGCGGCGCGCGCGCGCCGCGGGTGCTGCACAACAAGCGGAGTGCATGGGCGGGCGCTCTATCGCTCTCCGGCGCCCAACTTTGACTATCGATTACCGCCGGTTATTATAACCGGTGGGAGATCGTTCCTGCAGACGGAGGGATTCAACGCGGCGATAACTGCCCGAGACGTCCCTAACCTTTATTTATTTCTGCCCTGCTTCAGCAACCGGGGGCCGTCTTCCTCAACCAACCAAACCTCATTACCGACTGCCGGTCGTTGGGGACACGTGACTCCCGCAAAGGGCAGTGTCTCCACCCGGGAGTCGGACATTCCAACCCCCCCCCTGCCTCCTCTCTCTCCCCCCCCCATCCCAGCCCTCTTTCTCTCTCCTCCTCTTTCTCTCTCTCCTTCTCCCTCATTCCCCCCCCCTCCCCCCTCTCCATCTCTGCCGCCCCCGTGCCAACCCCCGCCGCCGCCTCGCCTGCCTCCGCCTCCTTCGCCACCCCATCTCCCGCTCCCCCCCCCGCCGCCGTTACCCCCCCCACCCCCTCCTTCGCCGCTACCGCCGTTACCTCATCCGTGGCCGCCGACACCAACCCCCCCGCCTCCTCCGCCGCTTCCCTCTCCACAGCCGTCGTCGCCACCTTCACCATCACCCTCGCCCCCCTCTCCTCCACCTCCTCCGTTGCCGCCGCCTCTGCAACCCCCTCCCTGGCCGCCTCCATCAAGACCGCCCATCCATCGGCCCTCTCCCCCGCCTTCCTCTCCGCCGCCACCGTCCCCGCCGCCCCCTCCGTACCCGCCTCCCCCTCCGTCGCAACCGCCATCGTCATCGCCATCGCCGGTTCCGCCGCCCCTGACACCGGCTGCGCTACCGCCGTCGCACCGGCCACTGCCCTTCCCTCCACCACCATCCCCGCCACCGCCGTCTCCGCCCCCACCAAGTCCCCCGCCCTTACCTCCACCTCCCCCTCCGCCATCACCAACTCCGTTGCCGTCCCCACCGCCCCCGCCCTATGCGCCATCACCCCCTCCGCCTCTTCCACCGCCGTTGCCGCCCCCCTCTCCTCCGCCCTACCTACCTCCCCCGCCCCCGGACCCCTCCCTGCCACCGCGGTCCCCCCTACCACCTTCACCGCCGCCGCCCTCCCCTTGGCCGCCTCCTCCATGAGGTGCCGGGTGTGGATGGGCGTCGAGTCCGTGTCGAGTGTTTACTAGCTCCGAGTAGAGGGGGCGTTCTGCTGCTAAGGGAAACCTGGAGCGCGGAGCTAACCCTCGGAGACCCGTGTTTACTTTAAGGCCCTTGCCCTGCGAATGCGCACCCCCCCCTAGCTAGGGGTCAGGGCTCTCTAGCCCGTAGCCCGATGCCGATCATCCGGCTCGCTGGGTGCGCTTCTCAGCTCCCCGGCCCTGGATGTGAGGTTGATGACTGCACTCCAAGTGCTCCAAGTGCTCTCTCTTTTCTCCCAGCAAGCTATAAGTACGTACAACAAACTCTACATCAAAAGCGGCGAATTAGGCACGGTCGGTCTCCGACATGAGGCGCGTTGCACTCGCCAGTGCTGCCCTGGCCTTCTGTCTGCCCGCCCAATGGGTGGCAGGTGCCTCTGCTGCTGTGGCATGCCTCACGGCTGCGACTGGCCGGCGCCTCGGCGCGTCAGCTCGGCTCGGCGTAGCGATAGTGGCCAGCGCAACTCGCCTGGACTCAACGCTTAGCCAGGAGCTCCCGCACGCGCTGGCGCGAGGCATGGCGCATGCAACGCGCAGCAATGCTCGTCTCGCCTCGCGCAAATGCGACCGTCCTCGCAGCCGACAGTCCACCGCCTGCTAAAGAAGCACTGCGACGAATGCGGCACCGGCGACGCATGGCAGGCTGGTCATGACGCAGTTATAGGGTGTTGTGTGCCATCAGAGTGACTCTCTGTGTGTCAGGGATAGTCAGGGCCGTCCATCAGAGCTCCAGTAAGCTCGGAGACACCCCATTAGCGCGGCTCGACCTCTTTGAGTCACACACTTCCTTCCCGGCGTCCTGCGGTTTGGCTGTAGAGCCTCTACAACAAACTCTACAACAAAATCGCGCTCTACATCGCTCTACAACGGAGGCAGTTCGTCACGCGCCAGATGTAGAGCTCTACAGCTCTACAGCACTCCAGAGCGCTCTACATCTCTACAGCTCTACAGCGCTCTACACTCTACATCCTCTACACCCTCCCTCAGGTTCTCCCTCCTGTCGCTTCCTCCTCTGTCGCGTCGTTCTCCTCTACCTCGTCCTGCTGCGCCGCCGCTGCCCGCCGATCCCGTGCCCAGTGTCGTAAAAGAAAGAAAGAAAACGGACAACCCAAGGGAGGGATGGGAGGACGGCACGCCGCCACCACACAGGGATTTTAAGGAGAGGGGTGTGGTGCGCTAGCCGTCGCCATACTGCACGCCCCACACCACCACTCTACACTCACTTGCGTCGGCGTTTGAGTAGACCCCCCCGCCTGAGGGCTCACCCCTCGCCTTCCCAGGGTCTCAAGCCTCGCGGGTTCATTTTTTTTTGAGAGCGCCTTCGTTGTTAATAGTACAAACCCAATCGTGCTCTTTTTTTTTGAACTTCTCTTAGCGCCGGGGGCCGCACCTGCTCCGGCGCCTCTCGCCGCTGCGGCTCTCCTCGGCTTCGCGTTGCCGACGTCGCCTCCGTCGCCACCATGGGTGTCGAGCCTGCCCCTCATCGCCCGTTGGCCGCCAGCATGTGCGTGCACAGCATCCTCCCTCGCCGCCGCGCAGGGAAAATGGTGTCCAAGATGCTCTCCTCGCTCCTCGGCAACAAAGAGTACCGCGTGCTCATCCTCGGCCTCGATAATGCAGGCGCGCACCCCGACCGGCCGGTCCTCCGCCGCCGCGCCTGCGCCGCACCGCCGCGCGCAGTCTCGCGCCCGTCGCGCCTCGCCTCGCCCGTCGCTCTCCACACCGCAGCGAGCCGCCGGTGTGTGCAGTCCCAGGCCGCGCGAGCTCGCCCAGCGAGCCGCGGCACATGACGCGCACGCTCGCACGTCCGCGCACGCCCAGCCGGCCCGCATCGCCCATCACACACGCGGCGTGGCAAAGTGGTGAGTCGAGCGCTCCTCGGCGCGACCGCTGCGCGCAGGGAAGACGACGATCCTGTACAAGCTGCAGATGGGGGAGGTTGTGACGACGGTGCCGACGATCGGCTTCAACGTGGAGACGGTGACCTACCAGAACCTGCGCTTCCAGGTCTGGGACCTAGTCCCTTCCTAGCAGCTTCCTGGTACCTTCCTAGAGCCTAGGTCACGTACCAGAACCTTCGCTTGCAGGTCTGGGACCTCGGGGGCCAGACGTCGATCCGGCCCTACTGGCGCTGCTACTACCAAAACACGAATGCGATCATCTATGTGGTCGACAGCGCCGACGCGGAGCGGATGGGGATCTCAAAGCAGGAGCTGGTGACGATGCTGGAGGAGGAGGAGCTCAAGGACGCGGCGCTGCTGGCGCGGAACCCCAGCCCCCCCCCCCCCCCCCCTCTGCAGTGGCAAATCTTTAAGACGTCTGCCATCAAGGGGGACGGGCTGCACGACGGGCTCGACTGGCTAGCGAACGCGATCAAGGAGGGGTAGCCCTCGCCCCCCCCCCCCCTGCTGCTGCTGCCGCCGCCGCCGCCCGTCGCGCCGCGCCGCCGCCCGCCGTCACGGCGCGAGAGCACCTCTGTCGCCGCCCGCCGCCCCCACACCCCACGGTGCGCGGGCGGGCCCGCTGGCCTCATACGTTTCGTAGGGAGAGGGGACGCGCGAGGGGAGGGAGAGGAGATGAAGCGAGGACCGCAGCCACGGCGCTGCCTGGGCTCAGGGCTGGGGATTGGGCGGGGCTTCAAACAAATAGCACGCGAGACAGAGAGAGAGAGAGAGAGAGGTGTCTGTCGAGAGGCGAGAAGAGCCCAACTGTGAGAGATTGGAATGAACATGTATCATCCGAACGTTCGCGGCGTGCACGTCGCAATTTCTTGAGAATGAATGTCAAAACACTACGTGCTACCCCTACAGAGGGTATATACACCGCTCACCCACGCGCACTGGGCCTTGCACTTTGAATGCCGTGGGGCTCCTGTCGTCAGACGTGGAGACGCGAGGGTTGCCCCCCCTTGCCCCACCACCTCGTGTGTGTGGAGAAGTTTACCTTACCTTACCTTACCTATACACACAGTGAGTGCAGAGTGGCAGTGGGCACCACAGCCCCCCCTCCCCCACAGGGCAGTGACTCAGGGTGCAGTTTCACAGCGCCGATACACGCATAAAGCCGTACAGGATACAGTAGTCAGTACCGAGCAGGCCTGCAGCGGTGCAGGGCGACTGACGTGGAGAGGGCCAAGGAAGGGCCGTCACAAGGGGGCCTCTGGCGTCTGGCTCTGGGGGGTGGGGGCGCAAACGCAAACCCACCTGGGTGTCGTCTTCGGTCATGCTGCGGGAGGCAAGGGCGAGGTCAGGTGAGGGGCTGTTGGAGTGTGACGACGACGTCCAGGCGCCAGCTCGGCATCCGCCAGCGCCGCCTCGGCCGCCGCCGCCGCCTCCTCGTCCGCCTCTGCCTCCTCCTCCGCCTCGTCCGCCTCAGCGTCCAAACGCACAGCCTTAGCCACCTCTGCCGACGCCGCCGCCTGGCTCTCCGCCGTGATGCCGAGCCGGATCCTCTCCTCGTGACAACTTGCGAGAAGCCTGATCATTCTCTCCTCCTCGGCCTTCTTTGCGGCCTCGGCTGCGGCTGCCTCGGACGGCTGCCTCGGCACCCTCCTCCGTCTCCTGCGATGGCCCAGCCCCGCCGGCGCTCACGCCCCTGTTTTGCTGAACGTGTGATGCCCCCGCCCGCAGGTGCGCCTCGACGTGCTGGTCACCCTCCTCCCCCCCGAACGGAGCCTGGTCGTGGCGCCCCACGGCATCCTAGGGCAGTCCTTTGACGGCTCTGGCATCGCGGTGGACGGGGCTGTCGACCCGAAGCCGCAGCCGGGCGAGCTCATGACCACCAGGGCGATGGCGGAGGGTTCGATCGAGGGCGCATGGCAGGACTACGTCATGCCCTCGCCCTATGCCACCTTCTTCCGATACAGCCGATTCGGCTTGACCAAAGCGGACCCCCGCAACGTCTCCGCGCTGTCTGGGAGGAAGGTCCCATTTGCAGCGTCGTCCTCGACCTCCGCGACGGCATCACATGACGATGGCGCAGACGAGACTACCAAGGCATCGCGCCGCCGGCTGGCCGAGGAGTGCGACCCTCCGTCACCGCCACCGCCGTCGGCATCGCCTTCTCTTCCGCCTATCACTGGAGCCGGCTGGTACAATGGCCTCTGCTCCTGCTGCGCAAACGAGGTGGCCGACGATGTCAACAAGACTGACCTGTGCGCAAATGCCGCGGTCAACTTCACGTGCCCCAAGACGTGCGGTGGCGAGGCAGACGAGGACAACTGCTGCTCCCTCTTCGGACACATTGCATTGGAATCCATCAAGGCTGATGTGCGCCAACCGCCCCCGCCACCCCCCCCCCCCCGCCCCATCGCCCACATCACCTGTTGTCCATGCCGCACTGAATCGCAGAACTTCGGAAGGAGCCTCAGCGTCCCACTGAACGACGACGAGCTAGAAGAGGCCATGGAGGCAGTGTCAGTCGATGAAAAAGACTATGAGGCGATGCTCAACGAGAGCATCTGCGAGCTCTTTCCCACGAGCGAGGAGCAGGAGGCCTTCAAAAACGATGCGGTGGGCCAGATCTATCCGCTGGCCTGCTTCAAGCGCGGCGAGACGGATATCTCGCGGATTGCGGGAACGAACGATGAGGACCTAGGCCGCCGCCTATTCCAGGCGGAGGAGGCAAGGCTTCCCGTTGAGGCGGCATCAACGCCGCGCGGCATCAACGACACGTTTGACAGCTCGCTCGCCCGCTGCTCTTCTGCGGATCGGCCCACAAGCACACAGGACGCCGCCCCGCCATGCGTCGAGGTAGTGGTGGGAGGCTTGGGGCAAAAGGGCATCCTTGCCGACAACGGACTGGCCCTCACATGCGTCTCCCTCGTGACGGTGAGCCCGCCCCCTGAGACGGCGCTTGCGACCATGTGTGACTGGGCCAAGGTGAAGGAGCTTTGCCCGGAGAGCTGCGCTGTCGCGGACGAAGAGGCGGTAGAAAGAGCCGAGCTGGAGGAGATCGGCATGCTGGAGCAAATGCGGCCCGCGAGCGAGGTTGAAGACGACGACTGGACGGCAAAGTGGACGCGCGCAGAGGAATGCAACGACACACCCGATGAGCTGCTCGCCCCGGAAGCGAAGCGGCTAGGGCTGCTGGCGGAGAGTTGCGCGGATTTGCTGTTCCGGGGGGGGGTGCGATTTCAACGTCGTCAAGGGCTTGTGCCCAAAGTCCTGCCGCGCGTGCTTCGGGTCGGACGAGGCTCACCATCGCGATCGTCGTCAGCTGAAAGCTTGTTATTAAATGAACTCGGGGGCACAGGACGCGGTACAAACGCGGTACACCAAAAGGCACGGGCCGCCTGCACGGCGTTCACTCGAACGCCATGCACATGGCGCGGAGCAGCATCGGGTTGGTGTCGAACCCGAGCGGGTCCTCCTCCCAGTCCCGGTGCCCACCCTCCGCGTCATCCTGCTCATCGTGCGCGTCGAGCACCCTGCCGAGGCAAAGGATCGTCCCCTTGGGAACGCCTGCCCCTCGCGCGCGCGGGAACTCTCCCTGCACCGCCATCACGAGCTTCTCGCGCGCCCACTTGCCGCCACGGCGGCAGTGCTGGGGCGCACGCTCGCGCAGCTCCTCGTAGAGCTCCTCGGCCCTCGCCACCTCCGCCGCCCAGCCCTCCGCTGACGCCTGAGCCACCTTCTTCTCCCTGAGCGTCTTGAACACCGGCGGCGGCGCCGGCGATGGCGCCACCTCCGGCTCGCCCGCCGCCTCTGCAGCGCGCCGCCCCTTCCTCGCCTTCTCCTTGAGCCGCTTCCTAGCGCTCTTGGTCAACGCCGGCGCCGCCGCCGCGGCCTCGCCGGCCGCCGCACCGGCGATGGATGTCGAGGATGATGAAGATGATGAAGCCGTTGTCGCGTTGCAAGCGGGGCGGAGAGTGTCGAAAAAAGAAGTGACAGTGTCCGTTGTGCCAGCGCAGCCTGGCGCAGACGCCAGGCCGCGCAGGGGCGCGGCCAATGCCGCAGCCTCCCCGCTGCCCGTTTCGGGCTCCTCCTCCTTCGCCGCCCCAGCCACCTCTGCCGCCGCCTCCGCCGCCGCGCGAGCCGCCGCCGCGCGAGCCGCCGCCGCGCGAACCGAGTCGCGAGCCAAGATCTTGAACTCCCTCTCGCGAGCCGCCGCGCAGACTTCCGCCCAGGAGCGCACGTCCCGGCAGCAGCGCACGTCCCGGACATCGCCACCATCCCGGCCGCGACGCGCCTCGATGTTCTCATACGCCCGCACCGTCGCCATCGCCGACGCCAGCAGCCGAATCGCTGCCCCATCGAGGAGGCAGCGTTCGTCGTAATTTGCGGGCCAGATTGTGGCTTATCCGCGGGCGCATATCACGCCGCAAGGCCCGACACTCAAAGGGTCAGGAGGCCGGTAGGCATGGATGAAAGCCGCTGATGAAGATGATGAAGCCGTTGTCTCGCGTTGCAAGCGGGGCGGAGAGTGTCGAAAAAAGAAGTGACCTGTCCGTTGTGCCAGCGCAGCCTGGCGCAGACGCCAGGCCGCGCAGGGGCGCGGCCAATGCCGCAGCCTCCCCGCTGCCCGTTTCGGGCTCCTCCTCCTCCATCTCCGCCTCCGCCGCTGCCTCTGCTGCTGCACGGCACTCAGCAGCTGCCTGGCGCCTGTACTCCTCGAACACGGCCACCTCTCGCCGCACCGGGCACACCTGCCGGTAGGCCGCCGCCGCCGCAGCCCACTCCTCCTCATCCTCCCTCGCAGCGTCGATCGTCCCATCGCCGCTCGTCGGCAGCGCGGGCACCAAGGGGTCCAAACTGGACACCTCGGTCCCACCTCCGATTCCACCCTCTGCGGCCTGCGCATCACAGGCGCCGCTGTCCGCCTCGTGGGGGCGCGCGCCGCCGCGGCCCTCGCCGCCAGCCGCCGCCCCGCCGCCGTGCTCCTCGCTAGCGGAGCGCGTCCCATCTCCGCCGCGGGGGCCGCTAAGCCCGGCTGCGGCAAGCGCATGCAATGCGGCACGCACGGCACCCTCGGCAGCGCCTGTACCGACGCCGCCGCCCTAGCCGCCGCCCGCGCGCTCGCCCGCAGCACCATCGCCGCCGGCCATCGCGCTGCTGCCCGCCTCGAGCAGCGCCGCGACGCTGCCGACATCCTGGGCCAGCAGCTGCGGCACCACCTTATCTGAGATGGGCGCAGAAACTTGCGCCCGCTCGAGGAGGGCCGCGATATCCTCGTCGGGAGCGATGGTCGGCCGCGAGGCCGCCATCACGGTGGTGCCCGGCCGCGTGGGCCGGGCTGCGGTCCGGCGCTCGCTGGTGGCGGTGAGAGCTTGAGCACTTGAGCACCGGATAGGGTCGATTCCGCGTGGTACGGGACCCCTCGATCGTCTCGCCCTCCCTCACTGGTGTGTTCATCGGGGGGGGTCATAACAAACACGGTACAGGATCGAGGTGCACGCTGCCGAAGCAGTGTCGTCCCCCCTCTCCCCGACGGCGATGGCGGTGTGACCGATCGAGCTACAAGAGGAGCTTGTTCAGCAGGATCCGGGGTGAGCTTTCTGTTGAAGTGGTCACGAAGTTTCTGTTGCGGGCGGCTGACATCAGCTAATTACGGTCCCTCGAGGGGTGTTTGAGGACTCCGTGCGCCTGTATGTACACCCCGGTGCGAGATAATGCGCATTTCTTCTCTGCACTGTAGCCCTTGAGAAAAAGCTCGCATTATGCAAACCTGTGCCTGTGTCCTAGCAAGTAGACCGAGAGGGGTACTCCCATAGGCACAAGAGGAGGTGGTCTGGAGACCGGCCCACAGCGGTCAGGAGAGGCCCCAACCCCCAAGACGCAAGAGGGTGCTAGATGAGAGTCAGCAGAGCGCGCCGTCTCGGACGTCGGAGGCTATGGGCAAGTAGGCTGAGAGACAAGAGGGATTTTTCTTTCTCTCTCGGGCGGAAGTGGAAGCCCCGACTTCTAATAAATTGTGCCAGGCGTAATAGCCGGGGGCGGACAGCACCTCTCTTTCCTGAGTCACCAGAAGCATCCCAACGATCCTTGAGCGGAGGCCGCCTTGTCTCCGCACTCCGGAGAATCTGGGAGAATGGATACCATAGCGGCAAGTGCGTAAGGCGACGGGAGGGTGACGGGGCGGGGGGGTGGCGGGTGGCGGGCGGGTCGGCGGGGAAGCGGCGGCACGGCGGCAGAACGGCAGAACGGAAGGGCACTGGAATGGCGGATCGGACGGCTGAGCGGGGGCGGCAGCAGGAAGGAGGCGGCGGTACGTACGGCGAGGGGAGGGGGCTGGCGGATGGATAACGAGGAAGTAGAGATTCGGGCGGGCGCGAGCGAGCGGCGAGGCGGCGGGAGGGTGAGGCGAGGGGCACTTGGAGCACTTGGAGAACAGTCAGTAACCTCACATCCTCGCCATCCTCGGCCATCGGCACTTGGAAAGCCGTGGCCTTTTTTGCGCGTTGTGGAACCTTGGCCCCGGTCGATTGACTTCAGCGCCGACGCTGCGCTGCTCCCCGCTGCTCGTGCGGGTGTGAGCCACCACCTTGCCGCGTGCCCAGACGCGGTCAGTGAGCGATGGTCTTCGAGGCGCGCGTCGAATCCGCAATCACCATCCACGCCTGGAACGCGGACCGCACGCTCCTCGCCGTCTGCCCGAACGACAATACGATCGCCATCCTCAAGGTCCCGACCGCCGAGCCGCTGGACGGGCCGTGGGAGCGGGTGGCGACGCTGAGCGAGCACGACGCGCTGGTGACGGGCATCGCGTGGGCACCGACGTCCAATAAGATCGTCACCGTCTCGCAGGACCGCAACGCCTACGTCTGGACGCAGGTCGGCGGCGAGTGGAAGCCGTCGCTCGTCATCCTGCGCATCGCGGCGGCGGCGACGTCGGTGCAGTGGTCGCCGGGCGAGGAGAAGTTCGCGGTCGGGTCGGGCGCCAAGGTGGTGCCGGTGTGCTACTACGAGGCGGCAAACGACTTTTGGGTCTCGAAGATGATCAAGGATCACTCCTCCACGGTCGGGGCGGTTGCGTGGCACCCGACGGCGCCGATCCTCGCCACCGCGTCGTTCGACTGCCGCTGCCGCGTCTTCTCGGCGCGCGCGCGCGCGCGTGGGGGGGGGGGCAGAGAGAGAGACGCGACGGGATGGGGCGGGCGGGCTGCTCTCCGACTCGCTTCCCGCACGGCGTGTCTGCCCGCGCAGGCGCACCTGAGGAACATTGACGGCAAAGAGGCGCGCGCGAGAGAGAGACGCATGCGGAACAGCACCCGCACCCGCCCCCCCCCCCTCCCCCCCTCCCCCCTTTCCCCACCGCGCCGGCGCACGCACGCAAGAAGCGCTTAGAGGCCGCGGCCATATCTCCGCCATATCTCGCCTTATCTCCCCACATCTCGCTTAGAGGCCGCGGCTCCGCGAGTGAGCCTGAGCCTGCCCGCCGCCTGGCACACTCGGGTGTGTACTCGGGTGTGTGCTCGGGTGTGTACTCGGGTGTGTACTCGGGTGTGTGCGCACACAGCACTGCTGTGCGGTGCTCGTGAGTGACAGCTCGTGCGTGGTGTCCTGCTCCACACGCCGGCCCGTGCGGTGTCGGCGAGCTCGCGAGCGCCGTGCAGTGCTCGGCAGTCGGGGCAGCGCCGCGCCGCCCGCATGCCGACGAGCGTGCACCGCCATCGGCTGCTTCAGCGCCCGCCGCACCTCTCTCGCCGTCTCTCCCTATCTCTCGCCATCTCTCGCCATCTCTCCCCGGCTCTCTCCCTATCTCTCCCTATCTCTCGCCACATCTCGCCAAATCTCCCCACATCTCCCCATATCCCGCAGGCGACCACTCCGTGGGGCGCAGCGGCCAAGTTCGGGACGCTGCTCTACACGTACGAGGCGCACGGCTAGGAACGGAGGACGGACTCTGATTTATGTATACGGACTCTCGCCCTCCCGGAGAGTGTGTCACCGCCGCTCGAGAGGACACGGACTCGACTGTACCCCGCCGGATTCGGCTGCAGTCGCTGTCCTCGCACCCCTCGTACTCACGCGGTGCTCTGAGGACCCTGCACACTACCCGTCCTCCCCCCCCTCATGCTGGCGTTTCCGCAACGCAAGGCGTACGGCTGGGTGCTCGACGTCGCCTTCTCCGCCGCCGGTTGGCTCCGCGCTCCCTCCCTCCCTCCTCTCTCTCTCGCTTGCTCTCTCACTCTTGCTCTCTCACTCTTGCTCTCGCTCGCCCGCTCACTCTTGCTCTCGCTCTCTCGCTCTCGCGCTCTCTCCCGCTCTCCCGCTCTCCCGCTCTCCCCGCGCCCCCTCGCTCGCACCTCTCCCCTCTCGGCACGGGCCTCTCCCCTCCCTGCGCACCAGCCGCCGCGCTCGCCCTCACCGCTTGGACCGAGTCTCGCACCCTCCCTCCCTCCCTCCCTCCCTCCCTCCCTCCCTCGGGAGCCAGGCGACGCTCTCGCCCTCACCGCGCAAAACTCGACCGTCGCCGTCGTCGACATGGCCGCGGCGGCCGCAGGCTCGACCGCCCCTAGAGGCGGAGGACGGACTCTTGTATCCCACCTGGCGCCCGAGAGGAGGCGTGTTCAGCTGTCCTCGACCATCTCCGGCCGTACTCACTGTCTTCGCACCCCTCTCCTTCACGCGGTGCTCTGAAGACTCTGCACCAGACCGTCTCCCCCCCCCTTCCCCTCATGTTGGCGTCGTACTCACAACCGCAGGCTCGGAGGGCGCGGCGCAGACCATCCGCCTCTCGGAGCTGCCTCTCACAAAGCTCCTCTTCCTGCCCGACGGCCAGGCGAGCGCCGCCCTCCGCCGCTTCCTCCCGCCGCCGCTTCCTCCCGCCGCCGCCTCCTCCTGCCTCTGCCGCCGCCTCCCGCCGCCTCCTCCTGCCGCCGCCGCCTCCTCCTGCCGCCGCCGCCTCTTGCTGCTGCCACCACCTGTGCCATCTCCCTCTGCCTCTTGCAATCGCCTCCTCTGCCTCTTGCCGCCCCCGCGTCTGACTCGTGCCGCCACCGCCGCCGCCGCCGCCGCCGCCACCGCCACCCTGTCTCCTCGCCTTTCGCTGCCCCTCTGGCCGCCGCTCCACCGCCGGCCTCGCCTGCCTTGCGCCGCAGCCTTCCCTCCCCACCGCTGCTCCCGGCACACGGGCAGCACCCCGCCCGCCTGCACGCCTCTGACCCCCTCCCCCCCCCCCTTCCCCTCCCCTTCCCCTCCCCTTCCCCTCCCCGCCGCCTGCTCCCTGGCAGCTGGTCGGTGCCGGGCACTGCTACTCCCCTCTCCTGATCGGCCGCGCCGAGGGCGCCCCTTGGGCCGTCATCGGCAAGCTGTCGACGTCGGCCGGTCGGACCAAAAAGTCATCCTCCAAGGTACACATCCTCTTGGGCTGCCCTTCGGTTAGATTTGGGAGGTTTTTTGGCTGCACCTCTTGGGGTGCCCTTGGGCTGCACCCCGGCTGCACCCCGGCTGCGCCTCTGCTGCCCTCCCTCCCAAGGCGGACTCGACACAGAGCCTGCTCCGAGCTACCGAGCTACCGAACCTCTACCTCGCCGCATCCCCCCCCCCCCCCCCCTCCGACAGGTCGACTCGGCGCGGAGGATGTTTCAGGCGGCAGCCTCCACCGGCACCCTCGACTCCGGCGCCGCGACCCTTGACTCGCTCCACCAGTTCGCCGTCTGCGGGCTGCAGCGCTTTGGCGCCCGCACCGCGCCCGCCGAGGGGGGTAGAGGTAGCGGGGGGGGGGTGCCTGTCTTGACCCGCCTCGCTGCGAGCAGGCGGCCGCGTGGTGCAGAGCGACGCCGTCTTCACGTCGTCCGCGCTCGACGGCGCGGTTGGGCGGGGCGGGGTCAGTCTGCGCTGCCGGGCGCGATAACCTGTGCACGTGGACCATCCTATAGGCAAGATCGTCGGCTGGTCGGCGCGCGAGATCGCGGCGGCGGCGCAGTAGGGAGGAGGGCTGCCAAGTTGCGCTTGGGGCGAGAGACATTTGTGTCATTTGCCCATAAAAAAATCGCTGCCTGCTGCTCGCGGTGGCGAGTCACTCCCCGGAGCAGAATAGAGGTGCGCACGAGGCAGGTGGCATAGCACGGCCCACCCCCTTCCACCCCCCCTCGCCCTTCGCAGCCTCTTCCCCCTTCCCTTTCCTTGCGACGGCGCGCATTAAAGAAAGAAACATGCGCGGGAAAAAAAAACAGGCGCTGCAGTTTGATGTATCGGCTTGCGTACCGTTTCCAACCGTCACGCGTCAGTACGCTACGTATGCCCACAGACCTCGACTGTACTGGCGTTTTGTTTTCCACTCGTTGCGAATTCTTGGAGCACTTGAGTCCTTGGAGCACTTGGAGTGCAGCGGACTTCGTTTTCTTCTTTCACGCCGGAACAGACACATGCTGGTGTTCTGCGCCGCCTTTGGACTCTCGGCCACCGCAGAGCTCTCGCCCGCGCTGCCGCCGCCGTCGCTGCCGCCGCCGTCTGCACCCTACTATGAGGTTGACAGCAAGGAGCAGCTTTTGGGTATCTTCAGCGAAAGCCGCATGGAAGCGAGCGTCGACGTCGTTGTCGCATCTGGCACAATCATTGAGTTGGAGACGCGGCTCGAATGCGATGAGGAGATCACCGTGATCATCCGTGGCAGCGGCGAGGGCGCGACTTTCGACGGCAAGGACAAGATCGGGCTCTTCAAAGTGTCTGGCGGTTGCAGCCTTACGCTCGAGCGACTCAACCTCGTCAACGGGAAAACAAACGCAGATGGCGGCGCTGTTTATGTAAAGAACGGCATTCTAACTTTGATGGACTCGACTGTCACTAATTGCAAGGGCGACTGGGGCGGAGCCTTGTACGTCGACAATTTCAATCGCTACAAGGTACGGGTGAAGGGCTCAACGTTTACCAGCTGCTCTGCTGAATACGTGCGCCGCCACTTAGATACCATGCCCATTAGCACAGAAGTGACATCCGCCCCCACGCCTACGCAGGGCGGCGCCATATACGTGTGGGACGGCGTGGTGAGCCTGATCAACTCCGAATTCTCGGACTGCCACGCAACGGAAGGTGGCGCAGTGTGGGTGGGTGGCGGCGAGGTGAGCCTGCTCGGCTCCAAGATCAGCAGCTGCTCAGCTGCCGAGGTTCGCAAGGGATAGAGATAGAGTCTAGTAGCGCGGGAGGAGTGACCCGCCTCTTCGCTTAACGCAGGGCGGCGCCATAAGCATGTCGAGCGGCAACGCAAGAGTGGAGGGCTCCACGTTTACTAGCTGCTCTGCTGCTGACCAGGTGCGCCATGTAGAGAGAACCAGACCAGTAACGCAAAAGAGACATCTGCCCTCCCACTTAACGCAGGGTGGCGCCTTGAACGTGTGGGGCGGCAACGCAAGAGTGGAGGACTCCACTTTTACCAGCTGCTCTGCTGACAAGGTGCGCCATGTAGAGAGAATCAGACCAGTAGCGCAGTGACATCCGCCCTGCGTTGGGATCCAGAGGTGACATCCGCCCCCACGCCTCCTCGCCCAACGCAGGGCGGCGCAATATACGTGGATGAGGGCGAGGTGAGCCTGATGGACTCCGAGTTTAGCAGCTGCTCCGCTGCCGAGGTTCGCATAGTAGGTAGAGTCCAGTAGCGCAGGAGGAGTGACCCCCGCCTCCTCGCCCAACGCAGGGCGGCGCCTTGTACGTGGAAAACGAGAAGGGCGAGGTGAACCTGATCAACTCCGAGATCTCCAACTGCATCGCCACAGAGTACGGCGGCGGCCTCTACTCGGCGGGCGGGCGCACCAGATTGAGCAAGGGCACCCTGATCAGCACCTGCTCCGCACCGGAGGGTCAGGGGAGCTCCATCTTCCTTCTCGGGGGTGGAGTCTCCTACACCCTCGCCGCCCCCGCCGGCCACTGGCTGCCAAACGCGCTCTGCGAGGTGTACCGGGAGGCGTGCCCGACGCGATTTGGCAAGCCGATCGATGACTGCCCTAATCACCGCGACAACTGCGCGCTCACCAATGAGACAGATCCCTCACCGGATGAGAAGGAGGAGGCTTGCGGCCGGCACAGCAGCCCAGAGAAGCAGGCGACTTGCAACATGACGGTCGACGAGCCGTGGTTGTGCCAGATCGCAACCTTCGTGCAGCCGTGCAACTGGCAGGACGACCCCTCCATCCTCGGCGAGAACCTCTACCAGCTGCCGCTGGAGCCTGTGGAGCGCGACTTCCCCTACCGCTGCGCCGCCGGCCTCAACGTCTCGCTCGACCCCGAAAGCCAGTCCAGCAGTCGCTGCGCCGGTCCCTGTCCTCCTGGCACCTGGTCGGCTATCGGCAGTGGCTCGTGCACGGACTGCGAGCCCGGCTTCTACGCCCAGCAAGAGCGCCAGGCGGAGTGCCGCCGCTGCCCACATCCACTCTTTAGCGGTCCCGGCAGCGTCTTCTGCTCAATGTGCATGGAGGGGTACTACCTGAGCAACTTTAGCGCCGATCCGTATGACATGATAGAGTTCTGCCGTCCTTGCCCAGGAGACGCCAACTGCAGCTCGCCAAATGCCACCCTCGAGAAACTCCCCCTCAAAGCCGGATTCTGGCGTGCCAGCAAAAGCAGCGACGTGTTGTATGAGTGCCGTCGCTTTGGTGGCGATGGCGATGCGGGCGAGAAGCGGTGCGCCGGCGGCTCCGAGTTCGGAATCGACGGCTCGGGCTACTGCGCTCCAGGCTTCAAGGGCCCGGAGTGCCAGCTCTGCGAGGAGGAGGACCACTACCTCACCAACGGCGACACGTGCAGCCAGTGTGCCGCAGTAGGGGAGCTGGTGGGCAACATCGTCGGCCTCTTCGTCGGCCTCTTTGTCTCGTGCGCCATCGCGGCGTGGGTCTACTCAACGACAAGCTTGCGACGCAAGCCATGCATCGGCCCTTTTCTCCGCTTCGCCGACCGCGCTGTCGCCGCATTCGCCACGTTCGGCCTCACGCCCAAGCTCAAGATCCTGCTGGGGTTCTACCAGGTGGCGCTGGTTCTCGACGTCACCTACTCAGCGCAGCTCCCGGAGGAGTTCACGACGCCCATCGACAGGTTGAACGACTGGATTTCGCTCAACTGGGCCGAGGCTTTTCTGCCCTTTCAATGTAGCGGGTCCCGGGTCATTGCGGTCACGCTCTTGCCCGTGGGCCTCATCGCTCTCCTTTTGCTCTCGGGCGTCGCGCTGCGGGTTTATCGCTGGCACGCCACGCCTCTTCCACGCCAGAAGCTCTGGCCGAAAGAGGTGGCCCTTGGACTCCTCGATTTCTTGCCAGCCAGCCTTGTGCTCGTCTTCCTGTGTGTGCCGGGGGTCAACGCCTACATCTTTGGCGCGTGGTCCTGCCAGGCGACGTTATTTGCCCCAGCCACAGACGCCACTCCGACGATGTCTCCTTAGCCCTGCGTTCCCACACAGGCGTATGATGACCCGGACCCGGAGCACGCAAAAGGCATGGTCAGCTACCTGCGCCGTGACCCGAGCATCGAGTGCTTTACCGATAAGCACCAGCCCACCATTGACCGCGCTATCATTTTTGCCGGGGTGTGGGTGGGTGGCTCGCTGATCCTCTACAGTTCGCTCCTCGCTGCTTGCTACACGCCGTTGCGGGCCAAGGTTTCTTCCCCGCTGACGCGGGCCACGGCGTTCCTCCACCAGGAGTACACCACGACCTTCTTCTGGTGGGAGGCGCTAGAGCTGGCGCGCAAGCTGATTCTCAACGGCATCGTGCTGCTAATCCGAGAGGAACGCGCCTTTCTTCGGCTCGTGGTGGCTGTTCTGCTCTCTTCCTGCTACCTGACGGCGCTGGCGGCCACGCAGCCGTATCGAAAGTTTGAGGACTACGCGCTTGCCGTGGTAAGCCGTTCACGCTCCCTAGTGCACATACACCCCCCTCGCTCGACCCCCCCCCCCCTCTCCTCCCGCAGGCAACCAATCTTGTGCTCCTCGTCAACTTCGTCTTGGCTGGTTGGTGCTCCATCTTCCTCAACATCGAGGAGCGCTCCGGCAAGGAGGAGGCCATCACCATCTTTGGCTTCAGCAGTGACGATTGGATTGCGGACACCATGCTCGGTCTCACTTTTGGCGTCACGGGCCTCTTCGTCGTGCTTGCAGCAGCGATCGGCGCCATCGCCGCCCAGCGCCGGCGCGAGCGCGACCGGGAGCTGGAGGAGACAAATCGCGCGCTCGCAGACGCCGCGCTGGAGATGCAAGGCGTCCAGTGCACCTTCCTCTTTCTCGACGCGGACGTGATCCGCTCCGGGCGGTTCGACGAGGCTGGCTACAAGACGACGTTGCCGCGGCTGCAGGAGATGCAGGCAGCGCACCCAGAATGGATCCAGCGGCGAGTGCTCAAGCGGCACCTCGCATACGGGCGTCACGCGTACCGCGGCGAGATCCTCGCAGTGAGCCACCGCTGGGAGCAGCCCGACGCGCCCGACGCGAGCGGCGCCCAGCTGCGGGCGATCCGCGAGCACCTTCAGAGCCCGGCCGGCCTCGAGGTGAGCTTCGCCTGGTATGCCTTGAGCACTGCCGTGAATAGATGCTGTTCACGCACGCCGCGCTCTGAACAGGTGGGCTTCGTCTGGTACGACTACTGGTGCATGCCGCAGGGCGAGCGGACGCCCACGGAGAAGGTCGACTTCAAGCGCATGCTGCAGAATGTTCTTGTGTCTCTCCTGCGGCTAGGCGAGAGACGAAGCCCCCGTTCCCTTATTGGGCGTGGACTGCCCCGCACATAGGTCAACCTGCTCTACCTCGGCTGCTCCGTCCTCATCCTGCAGGAGCTCTCCTACCTCTCCCGCTTCTGGCGCGCACGCCACACGGCCACGCCTCGCGCTCTCCGCCTCTCTAGACCGCCTCTCGCCCTCCTCCCCGCGCTCCAGGACGCAGTTTGAGGCGTGGTGCAGCATGCAGGCGGCCACCCCCACCCCCACCCCCACCCCCACCCCTCCCCCACCACCACACACACACACACCGCACGGGGCCTTAAACGCCTTCGGACGTGGAGTCGCGAGGGTTACCTGGCCTTACCTGGAGCTCCACTTACGCGGTACACCTGCAGGCGGCCACCGGAGGCGGCCTTGGGCCGGCGCCCGCCGCAGAGCGGCGCTGCACCGTCGTCCCCATCCACCAGGCCACGGAGGGGATGGCGTCCGAGCTCATCATGATGTGAACGCCGCTCTGAAGGGGTGATGTGCGGTTTCAGGCCGCTCGTCTGTCACCTCCGCATAACCTACCGCGTAGGTGGGCGAGTCGCAGCGTGGACGAGGCGATCGACACGCTGGCGAGCCCGGACGTGACCGTCACCAACCAGTCCGACAAGGAGCTGCAGCTGTACAAGCTGCGAGAGCTCGACTCGCTGG